ATTACCATATTCTCTCTAATATTAGTACACCCCAGCCAAGCCGAGTTGGTGACTATTTTACGGTTTCCAAGCTTTTGCAGAAGCTCAACACTCTAATCCCCCACTAGATCTCATTGTCAGCTACATTTTCCGACCCCACATCGATAGGTTCTGATAAGCGGTTCTCGAGATTTCGAGCAATTTAGGCAAAGCTCAATGTGCTACTATTAGAGAGAATACGGTAAGCGAGAGAGTATGTGTGTCTGTCTGTCTGTTCCGCTGTTTTGGAAAAAATGGCTGCACCAATCGATCTGAAAATTAAGAAGTGTTTGGAAAGTTTTCCAAAAAAGCAAATAGAAGTAAGGCGGCAAACGGAATTGAACTTGAGGGCCAAAATTGGATAGGTTTTGGAGGCTAGCACACTATCCCCTAGGACGCCTTTGCTTTTACTGCTTTTGGCGTTTTCTTCAAGATAAGGTCGCGGTTTGGCAAAGATTATGGAAACCTCGAACATGTTTTTCTCGAGTTGGAACTAGGGCAGATTAAAAACTGACGAGCCACCAGGACTCGAACCCGCGGCCTTTTGCTTCCCAGGCAACTGTGCTAACCATTTCACCAGAACGCATTTGATCTCCCTTACTCCAACTCTCGAAAAACAAGGCGCCTTGGGGAAAAAATAGAAAATACATGTTTCTTTGAATTCTACGGAAGCGTTTTGTAGCTAGGTCCACTTTCGAAAGTCGGTGTTTTGTTGAAACAGTTCCCTCGTGAACTTCAATACTTTCAAGCTTCACTTCTAATATTTGCCTTTAAGAACCAATGATACAATCGAACGTACAGAACGTAATTTACATATAAAATCTTGATTATATCAAGCCTGATGATCCAGATCAACCCAGAACTTTCCTTGCAAATTTTCTAGCCTTTTCTCTTTCTCTTTCTTCACCAGACTTTGTGTTTTGAATAAGAACCTATTAGAATAAGAATAAGAATAAGAATAGTCGGTGACGCAACTTCTTTTCAAATTTTACATGATTTAGCGCTATCTTTACAACTTTTTTGATGAGATTAAGTAAATTGCTTATTGTTTAGATATAAAGTTGAAGAAAAATTCTGTACTGCCTTCATCAGCAACAAAATAGAATTGCCGAAAGTTTTGAAAGAGTGAAAACGGTCATTTTTCCCGACAAGTTGCTCGAAGACTTTCAAAAATCGTATTTCGAGTCGTTTTCAGCTTCGTTCTTTACGATTTTTATCAGAATTTAATCTTGAAATTGTTTAGTTGCTTAAGAAAAATGCTTTGCTTGGCTACTTATACTCTAAGAAGTGTCAAAAAAATTGGAGGCTTTATTTTCTTGCAAATGAAGACGAATAATGACAGATTTTTCTTCAATTTTGTTGCTAAAGATGAGAAAAATGAGGAATTGAGACCATGCTCAACACTATGACACAGACTATGGCACAAAGCACGTCAAGGAGGCCATTCTCAACATTTTGATTATCAAAAAGATTGGAAAAATAACGCAGAAAAGAATGCCAAAAGGTATAACAATACCAAAATAAAAAAACGACAATAACAATACCAAAAAATACCAATACAAAGCAATGACAATACCAAAACAACAACAATAACAATATCAGCAATACCAAAACAACAACAATACCATAATTTCGAGAAAATCTGTAGAAAACACTCAAATTTATCTAGTAACTTCTTGAATTTCTGTTCTTAAATTTCTGTTTCTGTTTCTTAACCGTTTTCCGAAGTTCACAAGACTAGACGCCAGACATTTCCCAGACATTTACCCTCCTTTTTTTTCAATCTTTGTGCGCCTAATGAGCACACTACGTCAACAAATTGATTAAATGATTCAAAGAATTTGAAACATTGCCACATCATAAAAACACAAATGTACCGTATTCCCTAAAGAGGTTTTTTTCTTTGAAAATTTCTTCTTTGACAATTTCTCCTTTGAAAATTTCTCGTTTGTATCTTTAGTTCAAAAATAGAAACAGATGAACCACGTGCTTCAAACAAAATAGCAAAAAGCAACGAAATCCCTTGACAACTTGCTATACAATCCGCAAATTCAATTAGTTGCATGTAGTCATTGAAACTTTTGCGATGTATTTTGGGAAAAGTTTCGGATTATCCGAGTTGATGTCTTTTTGAGGAATTGAAGAATGGAGAGGCCTGAGGAATTGAAGAATGGAGAGGCCTGAGGAATTGAAGAATGGAGAGTAAATGAGAGACCGACATTTCGGAATTGTTTGCGATAAACAATGGACGAGTTTTTGCGAAATGGGTAAATAAGGAAAAGTTGTTGAGGTTCGGAGTTGATTCGGAGTTGATTCGGAAATGAGTTTTGGAAATTGGCTTGGCTAGACATTTGAAATGTTGTGTGGAAAATAAGCTAGAAGAGTCCATAGAACTACAACAAACGTCAATAGAACTACAACATACAGAAGAGTCAATAGAACTACAACATACAACAAACGAAAACTTGACTTGACAAATCTTGATGAAAACTTGACAAATCCGTGTACTTCATCGCATTTTAAGAGGAATGGAAATTCTGAAATTCACATAGAACAGGTAGAATCCTTAAACGAATTGAAAGAAGAGGAAATGTCGCTGTTTTTTTTAAAGTTTTCTTATACCCAAATATGATTAGAGTAGCAAACTGATCAGAAAAAAGATCAAAAAGCAAAGAATTATGATCAGATATCAGTTTTCTGAGTTTTCTTGAAGATTTAGCTTTATATTAAGCTGTCCAGAAAGGCTTTTAAACTCGTTTTAATGTTATTTTGTAGAGAAATGATTGGTTTTTCTAATAAAACAAATCGTAGTTAAATTGGTGTATTTGTTGGTTTTAAACAGAACGAAAAGGAACGAAAAATTTCATCGATTTTGACTGCAACTTCAGACCCTTAAAAAATCAATTAACGCGAGCTTTTCAGATTTCAGCATTTCTTTAAGGGCAATTTGTAAATAAACAATAGGACTTTTTGATAAAACAAAACGTAAATCAATTGGCTCATTCTTTCTTTCAAAAAGTTCCCTTAAAAAAGCAGAAAAGACTTTCTGGCCAGACCTGATATTCAGGCAACTTTTCCGAGTCCAAATCTAAACTTAGACAATTCTAATTTCTGACTTTTTCAGCTTTCTTTGAATTCTATATTTAGTCTATTTAGTCCCACAGCTACTTTTCTGTACACGTTACTTCCTTTTTTTCTTCCCGCTTCTTCCTGTTTTTTCCTTCCAGTTTTCTCACATTACGTAACCGACAATCCCTTTTCCCCAATTTGTCTCCAATTCTCCAATTACAGCTTTTCTCATAACTTTTCAATCATCTCCAATTATAATTTGTTGAAATTATGTACTCCTTGGATTATTCGTTAATCTTTTTCCAGAATTCTATCTTTCAAATCCTAGAAATTGAATGGGTTCAATAATGCGGGGGTGAAAAGAAATGAAAGCAAATGAATGAAAGCAAATTAATAGGGCACAATTCGAGTGAAAAATTTCGATCTTTTAATCTAATTTGTAATCGAATTTATTAATCTAATTTCTTTGAGACGGAAAAGATTTGAAGTTCCCGATCAACTTTAGGGGTTCTTTGGAGGAAAAAATAACTCGGAGAAAGACTCAGAAGAAACTAATTGAGAATGAATATTAAAATACTGTGTTTAATGAGAAAAAAACCTGCAGTTGATTGAATATTAATTGAAAGTTGCGAACATCTAACAGTTAAAGCAGGTGATTTTTACAGAAATGACCCTTTTTTCCCCAACAAAGCACAGTAAACCGGTGAATTTTTGTACGAGTATTCAGCAAAATTTGTGTGCACCTAAAGTTTTGCTGAAAATCTCTCTCCCAAGAACGCATATGATACTGGATTTTGGAAAAAGTCAACCATTAGCCAATTCAGCAAATTTCAGCAGTGAATCAGCAAATTTTGAAGGATTCTTCCCAAAGGCCAACCGACCAACCGGTAGTTTATTGCGATTTTGGTAGTCTTTCATACATTTGTGCCACAAAAAACACAATTACACAAAAAATTTGAAGGAAATTGGTGATTAGGGCGCGACTTTACGATTTTTCCTTTCCACGTACTCGGCTTTTTGTGGTAAAAGTGTCAAAATCGAAGATCAAAGCTTCATAAAGTTAACCCATTGATTTGTACACGAACATGGCTGTTTCTAGGCTGGTTTTACGGTGCCCGTCAATCCGTATTGCCCCCCTCCCACTCCCCGGTGTCCCCACTCCCCGGTGTCCCCACTCCCTGGTGTCCCCACTCCCTGGTGTCCCCACTCCCTAGTGTCCCCACTCCCTAGTGTCCCATCGGTCCTAGGGAATGATCCCTAGTGCCCCATCGGTCCTAGGGAGTGATCCCTAGTGCCCCACCGGTTTTAATAGACCAAGGTTTTAGGCGAAGGGACTGTTGAAATTCCAGGTCAGAACCATTGACATTGACTTTTTTTGGTTAGCCATAGGTTTTGGCTTTCTGGAACAGCCCAGAACATGACATCAAGGAATTTCCGTTGAAAATTTTGGTCTAATCGGTTCTTCGACTTTTTGTAGTTGTCGTTCTGATTCTAAAATCGCTCGTGACCTTAATTAAAGAAATTTGTGCTTTCTGAAAATAGTACCTATTTTTTCGACGAGTTCAAGTTCTAAAGATGTTTCCAAATAACTCTTTTCAATTGAATTTCCTGAGCTTAATCCCCTCAAACTAATTAATTTCTTTCAGCTGAGAAGCACCGCAAGCAAAATGGCACAAAAGTTCGGATCATCAATCAAAACAAAAGAAGAAGAGGTGGAGATGGTTAGCCACGCCCAATTCGAAGAAAAGATATCCATACGGGATACAGATGAAAAGGAGGAGGAGCGAAAGGAGAAAGAGGGAAAAGAAGTGAGCGGGGCGGGCCCTACTGCTGGGGGTGGAGGCCCGACACGGCCCACTTGCTTCATAAAGGCCCCAATGTTGCCCAGAAAATCCTCAGTTATTCCACTGACAATGCAACGAGTTGCCCCATTGCTTCTATCGTTCGCACTTTTCACCTCATGGCTACCAGGACTTCATTTGTGCTCGGCGTCGACTGTTTTACCCGACAAAGAGACAATGCTACAAGAGCTCGAACGAGCTACAGCGTTCGTTTTTTTCATGATTGTTAGTGAAGGTTTCTAACTGTTATCTGCAACTGGTTTTGTACCTGATTTACCTGATTGAGTTACCTTAACTTTACTTGATTGATTAAGTAACTTGATTAGTGGTTAGTAACTTAACTTGCTTAGTAGCTTGAAGAGTGGATTGGAACTTAGCAAGATTAGTAACTTGATTTGTTGTTAGTAACTTAACTTGCTTAGTAACTTAACTTGCTTAGTACCTTGCTTAGTAACTTACCTTGCTTAGTAACTTAACTTGATTAGATTAATAACTAAACTTTCAAATTAAACTTGGTTGAGTTTTATATACCTTTTTAAACAAGTACTGTTACAGGTACTGTTACAGTACTGTTGTCAGATCTTAAATCTTACAGACAAAGCATCATTTATGTAGTTGCTAAATGAAATAAGGAGAATTCAAGAGTTTTAAGAGAGAAAAAACCTGGATTCTTTCTAAATTCACCATTTCAGTCACTGTGCTGAAATCACTGACGAGAATTTGCTTTTCCATTGCGTGACCCGGGCAAAGAAGCGATTAGAGATCAAGAATGTGAGTGACTTGACCTCGCTTTTTCATTGTTTTTCCACCAACATCTATAATCTAAAGATTCTGAGATTATGGTAGCACTTTAGGAGTTGGAAAAGACCTTGAAAGTGCCCGCAAATGGAAGGATACCGATGCAAATGTCGGAAGAATCGCTGAAGAAAATCCTTGTACGAGAAGGTTACAACGAGGATGGGACACTGGTGAGTTTTGAAGGGAAAATAAGAATTGAAATAAGAATTCCTCTAAGAATTCCTCTAAGAATTCCTATAAGAATTCTTGCAAGTAAATAAGAATTGGGTATTCTTGAAGTACTTGATCTATCCAGTATTTAATCTGAATCGTTTCAGAAGTCTGAAGAGGGTGAGCTGATCCCTTCGGCTTTCATCGTTCCAGTCATGCAAAGTGAGTTATCTACTAATGAGTATCTACAGTTTGAAGTGATAAAATGATAGGATTCTTAAGATTTATGATATCTATTTATGATATCGATTTATAACAGCTTGCTTTATAACGATTCAACACTTTTAATCAATCCATCCTCTTTAGACCCGTCTTTCTTGCCGGAAAACCGTCACCGATCCTATTTTGATTTCAAAGACTATGACACAAAGCACGTGAAGGAGGCCATTCTCAACATTTTTATCAAGGTTCGATCCAATTTCATAAATCGAGTTAAAAGTACCAAATGACTAATGTCATCTAAGCATTTATCAGCTTTACCAGATTTGAAATCCCTAATCTCACGTGGATAATCTAAAGTCCACTCAAAAAATGCAGCTTTTTCTGTTAAAAATTTCTTCATAAACATACCGTAGTCTTAGTTTTTTTAATATTTATAGAAATATTGTGATGAAAAAATTGCTCTTTCAGGGGATTTACAACCCAAACGGACTCTCCCACTATGATGTTCATGTTTACAAGTTCATTTCGGATGAAGAAGTCGATCTTTCTCCCATCTGGAGCTACCGAAGAGTGAGTTTTGATGAAATGAAGAAAGAAAGATCAGAAATGAAGTGAAAGATAAGAGCTTAGAACAAATTTTGAATTGGGACACGGGGACAAATCATAAGCTTGGATTGGGACAAATCATAAACTTAGAAGTCTTGAATCTTTACAAGATTAAAATCAATAAACAAACAACGACAACAAACATCAACAAATATCAAATTCAGAGCCGAGAAATGTCGATGAATGGAAATTGGGACACAGTTGACATCACCGATCTTGTGAAAGAGTGGGGAGCAAATCCGGAATCGAACTTTGGAATGATGATTCGAGTTGAGCCGGAAGACAAGAATTACCCTGATGATTTTGATCCCGTCGAGAGAAATAGCGACAAATCTGCTGTTAGTTTTGAATTCAAATGTTTTCACATCATTTTTACAAATCTTTATCAAAGTATTTTAGATGTTCTTGGAAGTAAAGAAATCACCGCCATCAAGAGCCCGAAGGAGCTTAGCAATTGGAAAGAACAACACCTGCAAAATTGAAGCAAATCACCCAGATGCCTCTTGCTGTCGATACTCACTTCTGGTTGGTTTTTCGAAAAGATCACAATCAGATTGCCGCAGAGGGATTGAACCCTCAACCTTTTACTTTCTAATCCAATTCCTGACCAATTGGTCGAACCACTGAGCTATCCGTTACCGTAACTCGCTGATAGAAAGAGCGGAAGACAAGGGGGAAGAAGAAAGAAAGAAGAAAGAAAGAAGAAAGGAAGAAGAAAGGAAGAAGAGAAGGCATAAGGCCCTTGCCTGGCGGCGAGGTCGTGTCTGTGTAGCTCATTGGTAAGGCGTTCGCCCAGTAAGCGCTCAAGGCTCAAGTCCCGCTCAAGAGGGCTCAAGTCCCGGTGGGTTCGAGTCTCATAGCCGATCTTTTGTCCCATAGCCGACCTTTTTGAGTCCTTTTGCATTCCCAGCCCCAAGCCAACCGCAACTGCATCTTATCCATTGACTCATCTTATGTCTAACTTCATTTCAATCATTGACTTCAGATCAACTTCAAAGAATTCGGATGGGATTGGGTTGTCGCACCGGCTGTCTACAACGCCTATTACTGTGCCGGGCGATGCAAGAAAGGACACTCTCGTTCATCGAGCCACCACGCCATGCTATTGGAGTTCACGAACGCTGAAAACATGTGCTGTTCACCGGAAAGATTAACCGACCTTCAAATCATCTACACCAACAATCAAACAGGTTCGCTTTTCTTTGAAAACACTTGAAAAGTCTCTTAGTGGTCTAGCTTATTCAATCAAATCTAATCCCTTTATTTCCAGGTGCTCCCGAAAAGACGGTCATCAAGAACTCGATCGTTCAATCGTGCGGGTGTAAATAAACGAACCGATTCCTAGGTTTTCTCATTTCTTTTCCAAGAGATGAAAACGACTCAAAAGAAAATTCCCATATCGATCCAAATATCTCAGTTTTCCCCTTCACCAATGTACAGTTAGGTCCCTATTTTTCTCTTTACATACCGGTTTTTTTAAACCGATTTCTTTTCCAATTTTCCGACCTTTTCTCTAAAGTTTTGTCTTTTCCTGTCAAATACGTCAACTTTCAACGAAAAAAGTACCAACTCTTGCATATTTGAATCAACTCTCGCATAATTAAACCAACTCTTGCATAATTGAACCAACTCTTGCATATTTGAATCAACTCTTGCATATTTGAGTCAACTCTCGCATAATTAAACCAACTCTTGCATAATTAAACCAACTCTTGCATAATTGAACCAACTCTTGCATAATTGAACCAACTCTTGCATATTTGAACCAACTCTTGCATATTTGAACCAACTCTTGCATATTTGAACCAACTCTTGCATATTTGAACCAACTCTTGCATATTTGAATCAACTCTTGCATATTTGAGTCAACTCTTGCATAATTAAACCAACTCTTGCATAATTAGTGCTCAAAAAACTCCCGAAAATCGTATCCCATAACCCTCCTGCCCTTCAAGTCTCTCATTGATGCGGGATTTCTTCAAATGTTTTTTTCTTATTCGTAACTTTTTCCCTTTTTTCTCTTGAGCTTTGATTTTCAATGTATACTGTAGCATTTACATGTAAATTTCTCCTGGTTCTTGCCAAATGGGTTCTTTTTCCTGTTTGATTCCCCCCTCAAAAAAGCTACTGGTTTTTTCACAAGAAATTTTTCCGTTTCCCCGTGCAATTCTATCTCTATCGTTTCGAAATTATTTCCGATTTGGTTGAATGATGAAATTTGCCCACCAATTGTGCTCTTATTTAGTACTAGGTTTTGTATTTTGAGCTTTTTTTTCTTTTTTGATTCGATGTAATTAATTGTGTTGAGGTTTTGATGTAAAAAGATGTCTAGTGATGCTAGTTGATTTTCTGGGATTCTTTTTTGTTTTCTTTTGCGATAAATTTTCTATTTAGTAGTTTTTATGGATAAAATACATAAAAAAAACATAACAAATTGGACAAAATACATAAAAATATAACACATATAAACTCAATGAACAGTTAAACTCCTATACTTAACCTTTGTCTAGAACAACAGCAGCTAGAAGCTTAAGCTTTTGTTACCCTTGAGAAAGCTGCAAAGAAAAGCTGTTTTAAAACATCCATTGTCATCCAAATTTTCAATCCAAATTGTACAAAACGTTTGCTTAAGAAGTTTAAAAAGTTTTTAAAGTCTACTACTTACTAGTTAGTTCATTTCTACCAAAGAACAGGTAGAACTTGTAAGTATTTTTGTTTTTTGTGGCACTGCTAAAGTGCAGCTAACAGCTTGGTGATCAAGGAGATAGCTTGAAGCTTGAAGGAGATAATTTTAGACTGCTTTCCGTTAGTCTAGAACAACAGCAGCTAGAAGCTTAAGCTTTACCTATGAGTTTCCTTTCAGAAAGCTGCAAAGAAAAGCTGTTTTAAAACAATCTTTATCAAGTTCTAAAGCGCAAGAAATGTAAGAAAGAAGGCTCAAGTCTTTATCTTTCTTTTTAGTGATCCATTAGCAAGCCTTTGATCGTTTGGCATCTAGATTTTGCTTGTTAACTTTACTTGTTAAATTCGCAACAAAACCCACCGGTAGGCTGGCATACGTGGATTTAGCACTTTTTTCAGGCCGATTGGGCTGAAAATTTGCACCAGGGGGTTTTCTGGGTCAAGGAATTCGAATTCATACTTAGTTTTTAAAGAAAGCTGCTCCATCTTTGGATATTTCATTTGGCTTAATTACTCAGCTTCTGGCACGCAGCCTCTAGGGATATAGGACAGAATTCAAAGTTGGCTTTACTCTTTTTTTTTCTGCAATTTGATTTAATTACCCAATTTTTAAAAAGTTTTGTGATAACTGTGTTGGCTCGGAAATTAAAGTTGCTCAAAAGCTACTAACGGATTCCGATTCTCCATCTCAGAATGCCTCCAGTTACAAATTTTCAGGTCTACAACTAACATAGAGTCGTCCGAAATGGCAGCCAAGCCAAAAATAGCAAAAATTAATACCGTATTTTCTCTAATAGTAGTGCACCTTGAGCGTCGTCTAAATTGATCGAAATCTCGAGAACCGCTTATCAGAACCTATCGATGTGGAGTCGGAAAATGTAGCTGACGATGAGATCTAGTGGGGGATTTGAGTGTTGAGCTTCTGCAAAAGCTTAGAAACCGTAAAATAGTCACCAACTCGGCTTGCCGGGGTGCACTACTATTAGAGAAAATACGGTATGTTAAATCACCTGAAGACAACTTGTAAGACTGAGCTATCTGGCATAAATATCTGTAGAAAACCAATTTTGCTAGTTAAAAGCAAAGCTGAAAAGTGGTGTACTCAAAATCGAATGACATACGGGCTTACTCACTAAATGTTTTTCTTTTTGCTCAGTAATCCAGGAAACACTAGGTTGATCGAACTGTTCAACACCGATGGATGCCAAAGATACAGTCACTACTTTTTTGGTTGAATGAATCAGCCTCGGCTAGAGTTTTCGTTCAAAGGAAAGAACTAGGTATTTGCCAAATTGCACGTCATTTCCCCATCAACTCTTTTTAAACCATTAACTGAATTAGCTAAATGAACCGGTTTTTTCAATCATTCAAGTGATTCCTGAAAAGATACAGTGGGAAAAATTTTACTTATATCTGAGCTATAAAAAAATTTCTCAAGATCAAAGGTACCATAAGGTTATTTCTTTGAGAATTTTATGGTTATTTTTATGCTATACATATTTCTATGCCGTTAATCACTTCAACGAATGATGGTAAGCTTAGCTTAGAGCTTAGCTTCGAGCTTAGTTTAGCTTAGAGTTGAGCAGCTTGTTTTGTTTGGTTCTGTTCAAAAAAAGGCTAATTTTGATGGAAAAACTTGTGCTTCGTCTTCAAATTGGGTTATTATTTTATGAAAATCAGAGCTTGATGTCTTCAAAGCATGTCAATCTCGATGTCAAAGTATTCGTTTGATCACAAAAGCCCGAATCGCTAGTCTGAAGCTGAATGCCTGGCTTGTCTGGCCTTTTCTGACCTTGTCTAGCCTTTTCTGACCTTGTCTGGCCAACTCTGATTACATTTTGGTGTATATTTATCTATTTACTCTAGAAAAGCTTGTGAAAAATCTTTTAAGCTACACTTGAAAATAACTCTGACCACTTGTCAGTGAGATTGGGTATATTTTTCAGTCCACAAACGCTCGTGATAAACCTTTCAAGCTACACACTTGTGCGGCGGATTTAGTTCACTTTTTTGTAATCAGCCTACATCTATCGTACCTAAGCTGCAAAAAAAAGCACATCCAATCCCGCAAAAAGCGCTCAAAAATGTAGTGAAAACCGATGAACAGTGGTGAGAAATCGGGGTCCCAGTCGGTCATTTAATCAGATAATACCGTATCGATGGGGGCGGGGTAAGGCCTCAGCCCTTTTTTGCCCACTTTGCCTATAAATGAAACATTTTTTGCAGCAGACAGTTGATCCAAACAAAGAATGGGCCAACTGTATGTTGTCTGTCTGTTGATCTTTCTCTCACAGCTGCCCGGTTTCCATCTCTGCTCAGCTTCAACGATTTTACCCGATAATCTAGAAGATGACCTCGATAAATACGTTAGGTTTGTCTTGGGGTTTTCGGAGAACAGTTCTGACAAGAACAACAAAGAGATTTACTGTGTTTCCACAAAGATTGTTTTCAGGGAATGCGCTCATGACACGAATGTGAATCGTCGATATCATTGTGTGCTGAAGAAGAGAAAGCTGGCGGAGATGAAACAAGTAGGGAGCCAAGGCATAGATTTAACGTTTCACCACACATTCAGGGTCTCACCTATGCGTTGGGTATTCGTTCTGGTCCACGAAGAAATATCTCGATCTCACAGGCGCATCTCAAGCAGCTACTTTTGAGAGAAGGATTCACAGAAGATGGACAATATGTGGGTAGCAGTTGAACGTCTTAAATTTCTTAAATGCTGTAGTTGTTAGCTTTAGTTCATTAGCTTAAAAGCAAACTTTGACAGTAAATTGGTTTACAACTAAACTATAAACTAAACTACTAAACTACTCAAGAACAAAGAACTCAAGAAGTTTCAGCAGTTCAATACAATCAATATTAGGCTGTTCAGAAATATTAGGCTGTTCAGGAGCCTGAAGTCGGGTAGTCAAAAAGGCGACGGTTTAATGATGCGGACACTTTAGCTTTAGAAAAGCCACACTTTAGCTAAGGAAACCTATCTTGGTGTCAATAGATAAAAGATAGAGCATAAAAAGTTTAATAAATATCCAAATTTTCAGAGAAATTCATTTAACCAGTCTCTTTTTAGAGGTTTTTATAGATTTTTATACAAAACACTCTCGAATTTGCAACAAATCTCAAAAAAACATTATGATAAACACGCAAAAAACACTTTTCCCTCTTGAATTTACTTAAAAGTAAGCCCAAATTGACTTAAAAAGATGAAAATTACACAATAAACACTTTTTATTTGAAGAAAACCATACCGTAAGTACTGTAATAGTACTCCACCCCCCTCGTACAGTCGCGTAGTCTCAAAAGCTTTTTAGTATTTCATTTTTTGCGAAGCACCCGTACTTTCAAAAAATGCGTCTTTGGTATCAAAAAATAGCCCTAAATTCCATCTATTTTTTGGTACCTAAGCGCACATTGTAGTATAAACCAGTGTCGAGAAAAACTCGTTCAAAGCTAGACTACGCAACACTCTGCACCGTCATTATGGGGGTGGGACACTATTACAGTATTTACGGTAGGTTAATTGATGAATTTGTTAGTTTTAAACGGAAAGAACAAAAAGACTTTCTGGAAAGTTTAATAACTTTCAGGTTGATGGCCATGTCCATCAAGGAGATGCTTTCATCCTTCCGGTTCAACAAAATCCTTACTTTTTTCCCGAAAACGAGTTTCGCACCTATGTTGACATCAGAAATCCTCATGGAAACAAGATCAAGGAAGCTGTGCTCAACTTCTACGTCAGCGTTGGTTTTGTTGTGAAAGAGTTGCATGTAAATAGAGTTATTTTAAGACACAGACAAACATCTTTTTTTATGGAGTTTTTTTGCTTCAGTTTCTTTTTAGCTTCTAATTGTGGTAATCCGATAAAAGCGATTCTTTGCGTGTCTTAATCCGTTAAAAAACGGTAAGTAAACATACCGTATTCTTGTGGGTCTCGTGAGCAATCCGGGGAGACTTAATTGAAATTCTGGTTCATTAAAAATTGCTCAAAGTGTTTTAGCGGTTGATTGTAGTCTAGAGAGATTAATGAGATCAAAGAATAGAGAGAGTGGGCGAAAATGGCAAAAAAAGATTGTCTGGTCTGGAAAAGCATTCACCAAAATTATTTCTTTCAGTTTTGTAGTATTTGTTTTTGCTTTTTATTGTTATGCATTGCTTATCAAAACTATTTTTAATCTTTTATCATAAAGAAACTAAGCTTAACAGGCTAAGCTTAACAAACTAAGCTTAACAGGCATTGCTTAAGCCAGGTAGCAGCTCTAAGTCAGTTCTAAACAGCTCTTAGTCAGCTCTAAACATCTCTAAGTCAGCTCTAAACAGCTCTTAGTCAGCTCTAAACAGCTCTAAGTCTCTATTCAATACAAAGCAAGCCTTGAGTTTGCTTTATAAGCAGTGAGAAAACTATTCTATGACAAAACTATGACAATTCTAGAGAATTAGCTGTGCTGATTACGGAACTAACGTGTTTACAACTTTAACAGACCAAATTTTTGTCATTTGTTTTCAATTTTAAACATTTTAGGGTATCACACCAAAGCATGGCGTCGCCAAATACCAAGTCAACCTCTACCGATTTATTGACGACGAGGAAATTGATCTTGAACCCTTCGAAAGCTACAAAAGAGTGAGATTCAAGGAAATATTTATTCTATTAACCTATTTATTCCATTTATTTCATGTAAATAATTAAATCAGGTGAAAGAGACTTGGAAGTCCGATTTCTGGGATACGATCGAGATCACCGACTTGGTGAAGGATTGGGATCGGGAACCATCAAAGAACTATGGGATGATGATCAAGATTGAGACGAACGGTGTGCCAAAGCAAGAAGAGATTGACCCGATCGAGAGGGAATCCGAGGAAATGGCTGTAAGCTTGCAATCAGTATGCTTTTCAGACAGACTTCAAGAATTGCCTGTCTATAATTCTTATAAGGGAAAGGCTAGCCTTTTGGCTCCTCCAAGTCTATCTTAAGAGTCGGTCATGGGATCTCGAATCCGTTTTTAGCTTTTGCAAAATGGATGGATTTGATGGAACTCTATAAAATGGACTTGGTCTCGAGTCAAAAGAACAGCCTGACTTAGCTCAGCCTGACTTAGCCCAGCCTGACTTAGCCTTTCCCTTGTTAGTTCTTGACGGAGCAAATAGTAAGTAAGGCAATGAGTCAAGACAAATATTTGTTTAACAGCTTAACAGGATATTCAGATGTACTTGCAAGTGCGAACTTTCCCACTCGCGGCAAGACCCCGTCGACTTGTTGGAGGAAATGCGAACTGCACCGATACAATGAACCCGGATGAAGCTGGATGCTGCCTGTACGATTTCGCGGTTGGTCCTATGCAAAGAAACCCAACAAGCATTTTAAATGCATTATACATTAAAATACATACATTACATACATATACATGAATGAATGTTACGTCCGATCTAGACTGATTCTAGATCGGGCGTTCTAGATCGGGCGTTCTAGATCGGGCGTTCTAGATCGGGCGTTCTAGATCGGGCGTTCTAGATCGGGCGTTCTAGATCGAGCGTTCTAGATCGGGCGTTCTAGATCGGGCGTTCTAGATCGGGCGTTCTAGATCGGGCGTTCTAGATCGGGCGTTCTAGATCGGACGTTCTAGGTCGGATCTAGAGTGAAGTGAGGTCAAAAGTCCGATAAAGAATCATCACTTTAAGTCAGACGTCCGATCCAGACTCACATTTAGAGTGATCGACTTGATTCTAGATCCGACGTAACAGATATATGAATGAATATACATAAATATACAATATACAAACACAAATACATCGTGTGCACTTTCTAGGTTGATTTCAATAGCTTCGGCTGGTATTGGGTGCTTGCTCCGAAAGCCTACAACGCTTATTATTGCACGGGAATGTGCAAAACTGGACCGGGGCACGGATCCACTCACTATGACATGTTCGTCGACTTTCTCAAGCAAAGAAAACGTTGCTGTACACCGCACCATTTGCAGTCGATGAAAGTGATCTATTTGGATAATTCAGGTATTTGTTTTTATCGTTAGTATAGTTGAAATGGAGACTAAATCCATCGAATCCAGATTTTCTTTAAAATTACAGATTTTTGTAAATGTTTTAGTATTTTAGCTAAGAAATTTAGCAAAGCTGCCCTTTGCATTCACCGCAGTTGACCAGTTCCCCATAAAACACCCGATTTTCTTCATTTCATTTTTCATCTTCAAACTGAGCCGTTACAATTTACAATTTTCTGCCAAATATTGTTAGCTCTAGCTTTGGAAAAAGTTTCTATCAAAAAACAAAACTAAAAAACCATTCTGGACAGCAGGGGAGTCGAACCAACACCGTCTCCCCAGCGACAGTTTGACAATCGGCGTCTTAGACCACTCGGTCACACGTATTCACAGTCGGCGCCTTAGAATACGCGTATAAAGGACCTTCAGTAATTCCGCTTTTTACAAAAAACAGCCTCACTAACCCCCAAAACTAGTTTGATTTTCTAAAATTAGATACAAGTTTACACCTATAGCCAAATTTATAGCCAAATCGGTCCAGCCGTTTTTTCTAAAAAAGCGGAACAGACAGACACACAGACATGCTCTCTTTGCCATGGCCAAGTGGTTATGAGGTCGCCATGGCTGTTGGTTCAATGGGTAGGCATGGCCGACTGGCTAAGGGCCTTGTATTGGGGTCGGGAGATCAAGGGTTCGACCCTGCCGGGTGGATTATTGGTTATTTTTTCCATATATATGAGTTTTTTTTTCTTCCTTATATTTAGGGCTGCTTATGTATTGTTTATAGCAAATAATTCGTGTAAATGAATGTATTAAATTAAGTTGTAACTAACTTTTTCATTAAATTAAGCATTAGGTTGAGTACTAATTCGTGATAACCCCTATTCAGTTTTTGTTTTATCAATAATTGAAGCACCAATGGAATTAGGATTTCCCTCAATTTGTTTATCGATTAATTTGCGATCTTTTGAAGCAAATTTAGGTAAATTTTGAAACGAATTTGCGCAGATGTTCACGTTTTTCTGAAAATTCTACAAACAGACATGTAACTAAAGCAATTAGACAAATCGAGCTGGGAAATTGGTTTTATGCGTAACTTTTTATGCTCTATCTTTCTTCTAATGACATCAAAATAAGTTTCTTTCGAAGAAAGTGCTCAAATCGCTTTATCGAGCGTTCACCGTATCTGCTCTCTGAAATTCTTTCCACCATAAAACCTCTAAAATCAGAGCTTTCCGAAATCTCTCAAAAGTTACTTTTAGAAAAACAATAGAATTTAACGTTAGTAAAAACCGTAGATTATTTTGATGCATTAGTTATTTCTAAATAGTACAATGGGCTCTTGTTTAGTTTCCGGGTATTTTGGAAAAATCTGGATATTTTGAACGGGTCGTGACGCTTTGAAGGCCTATTACTTTGTCCAGAAATAATATTTTTGTTAACTTTTTATATCATTTTACAGAAGACGTTTCAGGCTTTCAAATAATACCAAATAGAGCTTGATCGGGTTTTTCATTCCCACGCAAGCCAGGCGACACGACACGCGAGTCGAATGGGCTTGTTTTGCTCAGAGTTGGCTCTGATTCTCTTAATGGATTATCCAATAAAGCTCTATTTGGTATCATTGGAAAGCCTGAAATGTCCTCTGTACAATGATATAAAGAAGTTAGCAAAAAATATCTTCTCTGGACAAAGTTCTAGGCCTACAAAGCGTGACGCCCCTTTCAAAATACCCGGAAACTACGCAAGAACCGTAAAATGTATAAGTATTATCAAGAATTAGTACTCAACCTAATAACTTTTTCATCGGTTTCGGTGTCCGTTGAGAGAAATATCCATAGCTTTAATACAAGTTCAGCAATCTTAAAAACAATAGACAATCACGAGCTTAGAAACACTGTCTGTCTAGCTTAGCAACATTCAAATCCGGGGTGGGACAAATGCGACCTTTTTTTTGCGCACCTGGACATTTGCGCACCTTTTTTTTTGCTGGAAAAGGCCTTAGGCAAGGCCGTAGAGCTTCGAAAATATTTCCATGTAAAGGAATCGTATGCGTAGATTCCGAATTTCCACAAATCAGACCTCGCTGACACGTCAAATTTGGGCTAAAAGGCAAAAACTGCGGAAAAGCGTTAAGTTGCGTAGTTTTTGCCTTTTAGCCCAAATTTGACGTGTCAGCGAGGTCTGATTTGTCAAAATTCTGAATTTACGCATACGATTCTTTTGGATGAAAACATTTTTGAAGCTCTACGACCTTTCCTAAGGCCTTTTCCAGCAAAAAAAAGGGGCGCAAATGTCCAGGTGCGCAAAAAAAGGTCGCATTTGTCCCACCCCCCTCAAATCTGTCTACTCCGAGCATCACAACCGTTTTTGAGTAATCACTTTTGCTTTCCATCACTTTTTCCATCACTCAACTGAACTCCGTTTCTTTGCTGGGAAATACTGTGGGAAACTCAATTTTTGTAGCCATTTCCAGACAGAAATAGGCAAAAAAATTTGTTTAAAAGTCACCTGCAATAGAACATACAAAAGACCAAGAGAAATGCATAAAAAGAACGGCAAATGAATTCAATGAATTCAAAACTTTTCAGACACCATCCAAATTCGGGACATCGAGCAGATGGCCGTCTCCAATTGTATGTGCGTTTGATAGTTTTTTTTGACTAGGATCTGTTAGATTTGTGTGTGGTTTTTCTTTTGCCATTTTTCAGCTCTAAATGAGGGTTTTTGCTAAATCGAGTACAACTTCTGCGATGCCAAGTTTTTCTTTCTCTTTAATCAATTCTTTTACTCTTGCCCAAATCCCTAAGGGTTTCTTGATCTTCAGTGCAAATTTCTCGATCAATTAGTGATTGTATATTTCTGTTGGAGTCTATTTTGCGAATAAATTCTTGCAAGTTTATTGAAAAACCTGAAAAAGAAAACACACACACAGCTACTAAGTGAATTAGCGAATACAGAGGAATCTGAAGTTAATGATTGATTGAAAATTGATTGAAAGAATTGCTTTATAAGTATTGAAGCTTATTGAAGCTTATTGAAGCTTTATAAGTTTCCAGATATGTTTTAAAGTTTAGTAGATGTGCATTTGGTTGAGTTGATCGCTGGGCACTTGGGGTAGGCGACGGCGGACACGGGAAGGGCTTTCAAATCCTGAAATTGAACAAATTTGAACAAATTTCAGGAGTCAAAGCTTTAGATTTGTTCAATCCGCTTCTATTAAAAGATAACGGTATTTATAAAGTAGGCAAACTTAGGCCTAGCCTAATAGCAACTAAAGCAGTCGATGCAAACGCTACTACTTTAACGCTACTACTGCAAACGCTGCCCCAACCCTACCTCCACCCAGGCATGTTAACAGACCGAAACTCCTTAACAAAGTACAATTCTGACTTCATTTTGTTAACAGACCGAAACTCCGTCCCTTTTTCAGTCCGTTTGCCATTGGCAATCTTCGTATTTTGCTTGTATCTTAGCCGGATTTGTTTAAAAAACGTTGAATTGACTTCCATTCAGTTTGAAATCAAGTTTTCTATTGCTTTTTACGTATTTTGCTCGTATCTTAGCCGGATTTGTTTAAAAAACATTGTATTTGCTTTCATTCGACTTGTAATCAAGTCTTTATCGCTTTCATTCGATAGAAAATTTAATTACAAGTCGAATGAAAGCAAATATAACGTTTTTCAAAGAAACCCGGTCAAGATACGAGCAAAATTCGTAGATTGCCACCGACAAACGGATCAAACGATCAAACATTGTAACGGATCTACGGCAAACGGATCAAACGATCATCAAACGATCATCGATCAAAAGTTCACATGGCTAAGTCCATCTTGTTAATGAATCATTAATTTCTGTTGCTTTTTAATGAATTGTTGAAGTATCAGCTGAAGTACCATATTGGAACCATATTGGAACCATATTGGAACCATATTGGAACGACATTGGAACGATATTGGAACCATATTGGAATAACCATATTGGAACTAGGCAAATGCTTTGCTAAAAGCATACAGATAAAATGAAAAAAAAAATATTACTCGGCAGCAGAAAAATGCGTATGATGAAATTTGCATGTAAAAGGGTACATCTACCTGTAATGGTATCTACCTAGAGGTACTGAGGGAATGTAGCACAAATCTGATTGCAGCTTCCGACTCCTCACTCCCCAAAAAAGCCCCGAGTACAAATTTTCAGCTTTCCAGCTCACTTCGTTGTAATTTTACATTAACGCAATTTGTATTATCGCATGTGGGACAGACGGACGTTTTTCTGTACTCTTCTTTATATTATTATTATTCTTTTTGTGTATATATTAGATGTATAATGTATAAATTGTTGCACAGTAAAGATGAGGCTTTTGTTACAAGGAATCAGTGGAATTAGGTTCGGAACGGAGTTTGACGATTTCTTTATAAAACGGTTTTTTTGCACAAAGTTGAGAAACTTTTTTAACTTCTTTCTGCTTCTATTCTCTCAAACTAGGATTCCTATTAAGTTGTTCGTATTTTGTTCTTCATATTCTTCATAAGTTATTCTGATTTTGACCTTCATTCTTCTACTATATATAATTGAGAGCTGTCTGTCCGTCCGTCCGTCCGTCCAGACGCAACTTTCCAGACGTCCAGACGCAACTCCAGAACCTGAGAAGCTAGAGCTCCAAAACAACACCCTTATAGGTTTTCGAGGTCGCGGAGTCCCCCGTTGAAGGGAGATTTTTTCTACGGGCAACGGAAACAGTATTATTGCGTACTCCGACCCTAGATCTCAGCACCCAGTGTACCGATTTTCATGGTTAATGTCTCGTTTTCTAGGAAATTTAAAACTAGAATAATTTCGATGAGTGCCATTCTTCGTGCGGCCGCTTAGTGGACGCCCAGCGCAACTAGTTCTTCAGAAATTATTTTTATTTTGAACTCTTCATATTCTTCATAAGTTAATCTTATTTTGAACTTCTCTATTTTCCAACTAACTTTGCGCATTTGTGAGTGGAGGAGCAGAAAGTGGAGGCGAATCTGTGTAGCCGTGAATGGGATTCCTCGGGGTTCTCCCCGATGGCTGAGCCGATCCAATCCGCGCCAACGGGGAAATCCGTCGCTCAACTGTTGTGTGTCGGGGTGACTGAAAAACGGGAAATTAGGCAAAAAAAGATAAATTGATAAGATAAGAATCTAAAGATAAGAATCCAAAGATAAGAATTCAAAGACAAGAATCCAAAGATGAGAATTCAAAGATAAAAATCCAAAGATAAGAATCCAGAGATAAGAATCCAAAGATGAGAATTCAAAGATAAGAATCCAAAGATAAGAGTCCAAAGATAAGAATCCAAAGACAAGAATCCAAAGACGAGAATTCAAAGATAAGAATCCAAAGATAAGAATCCAGAGATAAGAATCCAAGGATAAGAATCCAGAGATAAGAATGGATTGACCCATGCAATGGCACAAGGTGGTAAATCTTGTTTTCTTCAAAAAGTGACACTTGTTTTCTCGGTTTTCAAGCTATGAACGGTTTTGCTAGAAAGCTTTTGCTAGAAAGCTTTTCCTACTAGAAAAATTGATTCCTGGGATCAATTTGGAAGATTGGAGATGAGAAGTTATTGAGCCCTGGATAAGGATTACAAAAAAAAAACGTCTTTGATCCTTCATCAATCATAAGCGTGTCAGCAAAAATCTTCTCGCTTGGAAATTCTCCGGAAACTTCTCGAAACTTACAAAATTTGGGGAAGAAGTAGTTGATGATTCAGCGGAACTTCTTGAATATTGCATTTGAGAGCTGTGAAGATCTCCTTGATTTCGATAGCTGAGTGGGTAGATTCCTCGAGATTTCATGTAACTCGTCAATTGCATCGGAATCTCTTGGAGAACCTGAATGTTATGATTTTTAGCTCGGGTAACTTGCGATAAAGTCATTTTGTGTAAAAAGTACAATTCTGACTTCATTTTAATCTTTTTTTTGAGAATTGTATCTTACTTTTTGGGTTCTTTGATCAAACCGCATTATATTTACCCTAATAATCCGGCTTTTATCCGTTCTACTGTTTGAATTTGAATTCTGGAGAATTTAAAGTTTAACTTAGCTCTGTAGAGTTTAGGCTAGACTGTCAACCGTAGAATTTTGGTAGCTTTTGACAAGCTAATCCCAAGTTTTCTATTAAACCTCGCCCATCTTGCCATCCAACTTTAAGCTCAAATATCTTGGTGTTGGGCTGTCCAATGTCGATATTCTTGGTATCATTAAATTCGTCAAGTCTTTCTCTATCGATTGGTACAAAAACTGCTTAAATTGAATAACCCAACACCAAGATATTTGAGCTCAAAGTTAGATTACCAATGGCGAAGCACCGCCCCCTTTGCCATTGGCATTCTGACTTTAAGCTTAAGTATCTTGGTGTTGAACTGTCCAATTTAAATGGTCTTTATACCAAGCGGCAGAGAAAGACTTGCTGCATCTAATGATACCAAGAATATCGACATTGGACAGCCCAACACCAAGATATTTGAGCTCAAAGTTGGATTGGGCAAGGGGAGCCAATATCAAATGTCCCATAAGCCTCTTCAAATCGGTTCAAGCTTTTCGATTTCTGGACCCTGTTTTCACTATAAACTACTCGCTTTTTGGTGACTTTACTATTTTGGGGTGAAATTCATCTTTTGAAAAACAAACCTCTTTGGCGAGCTGTTGTCGTGCCTCGGTCAGCTCTTCTTCGCTCAAATGCCGATGAGGGGGCAAAAAATTTCGCATTTGAACGAACTGAAATTCAAAATTGAGTTAATAATGCTTAAATTAAGGGTACAGAGCTCTAAAGTGTATAACTTTTACATAAACAACATCAATATTTTACGTTTTTAAGTAACTATGACTTGGTTTGCTTGCTTGCTTGCTTGCTTGGGTTAGTTCACTAACTTGGGCTAGTTCACTAAGCTCTTGGGCTAGTTCACTAAGCTCTTGGGCTAGTTCACTAAGCTCTTGGGCTAGTTCACTAAGCTCTTGGGCTAGTTCACTAAGCTCTTGGGCTAGTTCACTAAGCTCTTGGGCTAGTTCACTAACTTGGGCTAGTTCACTAAGCTCTTGGGCTAGTTCACTAAGCTCTTGGGCTAGTTCACTAAGCTCTTGGGCTAGTTCACTAAGCTAGTTCACTACTTTGGGCTAGTTCACTAACTTGAATTATTTCGAATTGCTTAGACTAGTTTTCAAACTTGTTTACCTAACTTTTACCCAACTTTTACCTAACTTTAAGCATTAATATTAATTAAGCCTTAGCATTAATTACTTAGCATTAATTAAGCCTAGAACTCAGGGCACCAGCGCTAGTTTTAAACATGCTTTTTTTGCAAAATCACTCTTTCTTCTTGCCTCATTTCATTTCTCAATCCTTTCACTAGACCCAGCAAAACATTAAGCTTTTAGTAAATTTTTATCATAAAATCTCTTCTTTAATCGCTTTCTTTTCAAGAAACAAAGAACATGGGATGGATGTAGTGAAATGAGTAAAAATTTGTTTTCCATTTCTCATTCACGAGGCTCAAAAATCCCTATATTTGTTGTTCCACATCAGAAAATAATCGTTTAGAAATTGGCCAGCAGAGAAAGGTTTTTACACTATACTTTTACTTTACTAATCATAGTAAAAGTGTAGTGTACTTTACTAATGTAGTAAAAGTATGTTTTTACACTATACTTTTCTAACGATTACTACACTTTTAAACAGTATTGTTCTGTGAACAATTTTGTTTTCCTTTTTTTTGGAAAACATTTGGTTAAGTGTTTTGGTCAGCTTCTTAAAAAGCAATTTGAAATGAGAAATTTCCATTTCATTTCACTCTCGTTTATTAATTTTCAGGTGAAAAAGAGTGAATGATTAGAGAATTTGTTCAGGCTGATGGCTTAATTTTAATGATTTACTTGTACGATATCTCGTTTTGCAAATTTTCCATGCCAAGACAAGAGCTGATTGTCAGAGTCTAACACTTTCATCTCTTCAAACGAATCATAGCCGACACCAACGATGATGATTGATAGCGGAAGACCGGAGGCCTGAAAATTGAAGTTGTTACAGTACAGAGAACTTTAAAACCTCTACAACTATAGTAATTGGTACTAGCCATAGTTTTGAATTGGCTTGAATCGGATTTGAATTGAATGAATCGATTGGACTCGATTCAATTTGATTCAATTTGATTCATTTGATTCATTTGATTCATTTGATTCATTTGATTCATTTGATTCATTTGATTCATTTGATTCGCCAATCGGATCTGATTCGATTAGCCTAGCAATAGAAGCACGTGTGGCTGACTGGTTAAGTGTCTTTTATCTTAATCGGAAGGTCGGGGGTTCGAACCCCACATGCGACATGGGCACCCCCTTCGGATTTCCTTTCCCTTCGGGTTGAGAGGTTTTCTGGAGGGCAGTCTGGTGGTTGTGGCCCCAGTTCTTTAAAGTGACAAGCCACTCCTTCATCGTCATCTTCCCTTCACCACCAAAAAAGCTATTTAGTTCCCCATTGAGCTTAGGGTTAGGGAGCCGTCTGTCATGACGTGGGTTAAGTTAAGATATAGCCTAGTATTGTGTGTGTCGTTGTATTGTGATTGATATATTTCGTGTATGCGATAAATTCACCGCTGGTAGCCCCAGTCGGTATTTTTTTAATCGGATTGGATCCGATTCGATTCATTTGATAGATTTTTCGATTCGATCCATTTCGATCCGATTTAAATGGTTTTAATTTGAATTCGATTGTCTATTTCTACTTGGTACTATTCTATAGGTTATTCACTATGAAGTACCAGATGCGGCATATGTACTGTTACGTTTAATGCATTTTTTGGCTTTCTAAAACAATACATTAACCTAAGCTGATAAAGAACAATTAATCACAAAATCTAGGCCTAATTTTTCATAGAATAGAAGAACTGAAACATCTTTTAATGACTTTGACAACCCTAGTTGAGCAATACAAAAAATGTTATGCTATGCGGCTGAAAAACAGTTAAATTCGAGTCTGGAGTCTATAAAAATCGTCTTTTTCCGTATTCTTCTGCATTCATGCATCTTTTTAGCTTTCTAAGACAATACATTAACCCTCCACAACTATAGTACTTGGTACTAGACATGGTTTTGAATTGGATTGGATTGAATCGGATTTGAATTGAATGAATGAATCGATTGGACTCGATTCAATTTGATTCAATTTGATTCATTTGAATCATCAATCGGATCCGACTCGATTGGATTCGAGAAAAACTCGTTCAAAGCTAGACTACGCAACACTCCGAACCGCCATTATGGGGGTGGGGTACTATTACAGTATTAGATTTTCGATTTATTAATTCGACAGAATTTTCTAAAGAAAGCAAAAACCACTGAAAGATTCGAATCTGATCTATTCTTAGAAGGATCTTTTTCCTTCATTTAATCTTGATTTCACCAGACATTCTACTTTTTCAGACTCATTTTTGGCTTTTGGATAATTGGCTGAAACCGATGAAATCCCAGGGGCCCGAAAAAAGTGACCACAATTTGCAAAAGGTGGTCACTTTTTTGGTGACAAAAGTACCGTATGCTCATTAGCTGTTCACTTTCGTATTTTGATCGTTAATCGAATTTTCGCACATTCAATTAGAGGAGCTGATTTGAGGGGAATATCGGCGGCATTTTTGTGAGGAGATCTTTTTAATTCCCCTCCTCAATAGTCTTCTCATTTTCAACTTAATCTGATCCCTTTTCGCTAAATCTTCGGCCTCAGTTACTGTAAATGAAAAAAAGGTGTGAGGCGGACAAAGAGTGAAATCCCTCGGTACATTCACGAGGGATTAGAAAAAGATAAATGCATGGAATCACCTGGAATCTCAGAATTTGAAAAAAACAACAAGATCACAACATTTTGAAGCTTAAGCAAACTCTGGAGAAGGAAGGAAAGGATTAGAGAAAACTGGGGCAAAATGAGAGTTTTTATCTGTACCAGCCTTCAAAAAATCGGCCTACAATCGGTTTTTTTCGGCTGATTTTCGGCTGATTCGAAGCATTATCGAAACAAAACAATTTCTACATTAAAAAATAGAAAGCTGTCGGTTTGCCAGTGAGAACGTCTGCCAAAAAAAAGATAAATCATTCATCTTTTCTTCGCGATCTCTTTTAAACTTTGCTACTGTGAAAAAGGAAATCGAATTATGCTTCAGCATAGAGAAAACTTTGGTTTTGGTTTTGGTTTTGGAAACCATTTGAAGTTAAACAAAATAAAGGGTGTCTCAAAATTATGAAATGGAAATTCGATCAATGATCTTTTGTTAATTTTCAAGAAATTTTTATAGATATCTTAAAAATCATTTAACAATCATTGAACATAACAAAAATATAGGAGTAGGCTAGTTTCGGCGATCATTTGCGCAACTGGATCCTTTGCGCAACTGGGTCCTTTGCGCAACTGGATCCATTGCGCAACTGGATCATTTGCGCAACTGGATCATTTGCGCAACTGGATCATTTGCGCAACTGGATCATTTGCGCAACTGGATCATTTGCGCAACAGGGTCATTTGCGCAACAGGGTCATTTGCGCAACTGGATCCTTTGCGCAACTGGATCCTTTGCGCAACTGGATCCTTTGCGCAACTGGATCCTTTGCGCAACTGGATCCTTTGCGCAACTGGATCCATTGCGCAACTGGATCCATTGCGCAACTCGCCATAACTTTTTTCTAAGTAAGCCAATCTTTATGCTTTTGGTTGTCATTTTGTTGCACTTATTGAGATCTACAAAATGAAACCAAAATCATAAAGATTGGTTCACTTAGAAAAAAGTTATGGTGAGTTGCGCAAATAACACGGCTCAACGCTGCAAGACGATTCTAGAGAATGATCTTCTACCGTTTTCGACCGCAAATATGGGCCAAGGTTGGTTGTTGTACCGGGACAATGCCCCGTGCCACAAGTCACAGCTGCTGATGGGACGCCGTGTTATTTGGGCAACTCGCCATAACTTTTTTCTAAGTGGGCCAATCTTTATGATTTTGGTTTCATTTTGTAGATCTCAATAAGTGCAACAAATAAATCCAATCAAAAGATTGGTCCACTTCGAAGAAAATTGTGGCGAGTTGCGCAAATGATCCAGTTGCGCAAAAAAAATTGCCGAAACTAACCTACCGCAAAATAAAACATTATTCTATTTTAAGTAATTGGTCATAACCTATTTTCGAAATCAAGATGTTAGTTTAAAGTATTAGTTACAATTTCTGTTGTTCAAAACATTCAAAAAAGCCTCCAGCAGTGCAGAGGGGTCGAACCAAGAACCCCCTCTTTGGCACAGCTTCGAAATAACCCAAGTTAGTGAACTAACCCGAGCAAGCAACACTGACACACAGCGCGTTAGACCACTCGGTCACGCGCACACTCACTCGGCCACGTTCGAGAAACCGAATTTTTACAAAAAATACCCTGTCTAACCCACAAAACTAATTAGATTTTTGGAAACTAAATAAAATTTTCGATATAGTAGTCAAATTTTCAGACCAATTGGTTCGATCGTTTTTTCTAAAACAGGGAACAAACAGACACACAAACTCTCGCTTATAATAAGTAGGATTAAGTAGGATTTTACTATAATATGTAGGATTTTCTCATCACCAGCTTAATTAGCTTAGTTCCAAGTTTTGAAAAGAAATCAGTAACTCAATGCTTGTTTCTTCTTTTAAAAGAAAAGTTGTTTTTTTTGAGCTCTAATACGTCCAAACATTCTTTATGTTTAGTTTTTTTAATTCTGAACTGATAACAAACCTTTTATTAACGATTTTCCTTTGTTAACAATCTGATTTTTAAAGCGAATCAAAGATCATACCAATCAATGCACTCAAAACGATGATTTTTTCACCTATTTCCTCGTGCACCTGGGTGATTTCATCAAAAATTCCCAGACTTCCACCTTTTTTTCTCTCTCACAAATCCAAGGAAATTGCCGACTCGAAAATACACAAACAAGCGACAATTCGTAATTTTCTTGCCTCAAAAAGCTTCTTTTCGCTTTTCAAATTGAGATTTTCAACTGAAAGCACATCAAAAAACAGATGCTTTTTCTTGAAAGTGTAGGCAAAAGCACAAAGTAATGCTACAGAGTACAACAACACGTCCAACTTAATTGCTAGGTTCAAAAGATCGGAAAAATTGATCGCAAAGGTTTAGGGATCTATTTTTATCGTTTTTAAATCAAAAGTCAAAACCTGAAACACTATACTTTAATTTACAAAATCGAATTAATCAAAAACACTCGTTTTTCTAGCTCTATAGGGAACAAATTTGTAAAAATTCATCAATTTTAATGAGATTTCTCAAAATTTAGTCTATTTTTACACAAACCTTCACAATTTGTTCTTTTGTGCGCTCCATATCGGAAATAATTCCATTGGTGAGAATCAACAATACGCAGTATTTGCTTCCATTGGCTGGCAGAGATGCGGCACGTTGAGCAGCAAATCTGGAAGAGAATAGTTGAGTAAAATTGGCAAAAGTCTTACAATTAGAGCATTTTGCATTTGTTCTAGATCTAGACTTCTAGAAGTTCTAGATCTACAGGGTGCGTCATAATTATTGCAACAAGATACTCAAGGCATTGCACACCAAGAAGTTTCACTGGAAGAAGATTTTTAAACAGAAATAGCTTTATTTAACAGTAACAAATAAGGAAACAAGAGATCATTCGATATGACCGCCTTTTGCCTTGATAACAGCCCTTAATCGGTTCGGATATGCCTCCACTGCGGCCCGAATGTCATCTTGAGGAGTCGCCTTCCATCCTTTGGTCAAACACTTCTTCAAGGTCAAAGAGCAGACTCCAAGAGGTCAAAGAGCAGACTCTAAGAGGTCAAAGAGCCTCTAAGATTGCCCAAATGGAAAAGTCCATCACATTGAGATCCGGTGAGTTTAGAGGCCATTCATCCTTGGTGATCACTGAGGGAAAGTTGGCCACACACCAGTCCTGAACCGTCTTCTTCGTGTGAGCGGGAGGCAATTAGGCAAGAATAAAGAAGATAGAACGCAACACAACAAAAAAGGGGGCAAAAAAAAATAAGAAAGCTGTTTGGAAAACGGTCTTTGAACTCTTGTTGCAATAATTATGACGCACCCTGTAGACTTCTAGAAATTCTAGATCTAGACTTCTAGAAGTTCTAGATCTAGACTTCTAGAAGTTCTAGATCTAGACTTCTAGATCTTATAGTCGGTTTCTAGGCTGTACTTGATCCTCAACCAGCACTAGAGTTTACTCCTTGCGAGTAAATAATTACTCAATTAGGCAATACTGATAAATTTAGTATCAATTTGGTTCTGATTTTAGTATCAATTTGATGCTGATCAATTGCTGATCAATTTGGTTTATGTAACCAAATAGATCAAGTCTCGAAAAACCAGTTTGCTGAAAACTGGATACTAGTTTCAAGCTTTAGAGTGTGTTCCATCCAAATAAGTAATTTCTCGGGTAAAATTTGCATGAGTACGAGTAATCCTCTTTACACGTAAATTGAATATCTTGACGTTTGAAGAGAAGGCGAGACATTGGAGTGGAGGAGAAAATTGGAGGTCTTTGTTGATAATTTGTTGATAAAATATGTTTTATACGAAAATCATAGCGCCGAAAAAATTGAGAAGAAAAAAGACGGTAAGGGCCTCTACATGGTGATTTGCGGAGCTTCCAAAATTTCGCGGAGGGGGTGGGGGCTTAGCTTGAGCAAAAGCTTGAGCTTGAGCAACCTTGCCTTGCCTTGTCCTTCCTGAGTACGGGCCTGCTGGTACCTCTTCATCTGGTACTTTTTCATCCAGTATTTTTCCATCTGATAATTCTTCATCTGGTACTTTTCCATCTGGTACCCCTTCCACCCAAACATCGAAAAAAAATTCAACAGCTTTATGTTCTTTTGGCTAAATTGAACTTTACGCTCCAGAGCAGCTAAAATGCATTTAAAACCAGTTTTTTTTATGCGTTTATGCTTTACTATGCCTAGTTATGCTCAAAAAGAGACAAAAATAATGTGGGGAAATAATTTTAGATCAAAAAAATTCGAATTCAAGGAAAAAGATTCTTTTCGATTGTTGGCGGGTACCAGCTGAAGAAGTACTATGAAATGAAGCTACTATGCGATGAATAGGTAATGATAATTACCGTATTTCTTCGAATAGAAGACCGGGTAAAGAGTATCATCGCGTACTCCTGCGTAGCAGCCCTTTTAAAATTTCTTTTCTGCATAAAAGCTTTCAATGAAGTGCTATTGGAAAATGGAAAGTGGCTCAAAAATCTGTTAGCTCATGTGGTATTTTTGAGTCATTTTCCAGCCCTATAGCACTTCATTGAAAGCTTTTATGCAGAAAAGAAATTTTAAAAGGGCTGCTACGCAGGAGTACGCGATGATACTCTTTACCCGGTCTTCTATTCGAAGAAATACGGTATGCTCAACTGGCTTATCAAAAGGCTGATTGAAATGAATGAAATGAATGGAAAGAAATGAAATAAAAAATGATTGGAATCACCTGATCGTTGGCGCAAAATCGGTAGGCCCAGAAAGGACGACATGTCGAAGAGCGGTTCGATACGATCGAAAGAGACCCTCAACTCCGTCACATCGTGGCTCACCCGTTTCAACATTCTAAAGATTTAGTTTTGATTTGTTGAGGAAATCTCAAAAAAATTTAGTCATTTCATATGAATTCACCAAATATTAGCAATAGCATGAAATAATAAACCAATCTTCTTTTAGACTTGCAATTAGTACATTCAAGTGTCCTAAAAAGTGACTACCTTGTTTTTAAAGGTTCAGTTACAAGTTCAGGATTTGTTTTTTTCTTTTGCTAGGCCCTTGAGCTCTTAACCTTCTAGGGTACTGCAAGAAATCTATTTTTATACTTTGATCTTTATAATTTCTTGTGAGACCGTGTCTCGGTGTGGTTCAATGGTAGATTTCTTGAAAACGCACAATTTATCAAAACTTTCCCTTATTAGCTAGCTAGCTACTCTAGAAAGCTAGCTAGTTACTCTAGAAAGCTGGGTAACTATTCTAGAAAGCTAGGTAACTTTGCTCAAACTGGAGCAACCTGGCACTATCAAAATCACTTCAACACTTGCGTGAGAAAAAAGGGATAAATAGAAAAGGGAGCCCACAACTGACTCAAAACAAAGCCTTTTAAGTACACAAGCTACGACAAACGGACAACTGAATATCGTCTAGTCGCTGATTACGGTAGTTTATCCATCAACTTTGAATTTTAACTTGTGTATTGAATTTTGACTAACTGCAGAGCAGTGGCCATTCGCCACACTATAGTTTTAAGATTGAGCTTGAGCAAAGGCTAGAGCGAGCTTGAGCAAAGGCTAGAGCGAGCTTGAGCAAAGGCTAGAGCGAGCTTGAGCAAAGGCTAGAGCGAGCTTGAGCAAAGGCTAGAGCGAGCTTGAGCAAAGGCTAGAGCGAGCTTGAGCAAAGGCTAGAGCGAGCTTGAGCAAAAGCTAGAGCGAGCTTGAGCAAAAGCTAGAGCTTGAGCAAAGGCTAGAGCTTGAGCTAGAGCTTGAGCAAAGGCTAGAGCTTGAGCAAAAGCTAGAGCTTGAGCAAAAGCTAGAGCGAGCTTGAGCAAAAGCTAGATCTGGATATTGGATTACTACGAGATTCAGCTCGAATGTGAATTATGAATGTGAATTATGAAGCTGAGTACACAGATTTATGAATTTCCATGAGTTTAATGCTTTCCAAATGTATTTTATCAAGAATCCTTCTAATTAAGCCAAATTATTTGTAATAAGTTCTCAAGCTTTTCTCAAATTCTCAAAATTCTTAAATTCTTGGAATCTCGAAGTTTATCACCACGATTTGACTCATCACCATGAGTTGTTTCCCCACAAACCTTTTTGTAAGATGAAGCTATTCAAAGATTAGTAATGTTATTCCCGAAAATTGCCTTTTATTTCATTTATTTATTAGAAAATTAATGTAACCAATTAATCAAAGGATTAGGAAAATTTCTCGATTTTTTTCAAAAGCCTCAAAGCATGGAGCTTTTTTAACAAGAAACCCTATTATCACCTTTCTTTAACAGAAAAGGATTAATACGGATTAATCTTTTGTGTTAAGATTTTTGAAAAAGTTGAGTTCAATAGGGATTATTATTTTTCTTTATGAAAAGAAGCCCTTTTGTTTGGGAGTTTTTTTGAAAACTGAAGTTCACTCATAAACAATTTCTCTGCAGGAATTCGAATTCTTTTCAAAAGAGGGATTTCCATGAAAGTCATTTGATAGGGCTGGTCAATTAGATCTTTCAAATAACAATAATTTATTGTTTTGTTTTGAGTGTTCGAAATTTTAGAATAGAAGAATAGAAGCCTTACCAGAGGGAAATTATAGAGAGTCTGATCGGAGTTGGGTAAACGAGCCGCGAAGCCAAACCCGTTGAAAACTTTACTCGCATTGTAGAACTGGCAAATCTGAAAGAGTTGAGCTTATTTTTAGAGGTAATGGAGGTAATTTAATAGACAATTTGTAATTGAAGGTAATTTAATAGACAATTTGTTTAAATAAAATTCAAAACCAAAGCTAATGCAATACATTTGCGCTACGGTCGTTAGAAACCTTTGCTACGGTCGTTAGAAAGCTTCAAAAGTGAGGCAACACTCAGCAAAAGTGAGACAGATACACTACTGCAAAATGAAATATGATATTTGAAAAGCGATCGTCACTTTCGCGCGTCTGTAACTCCCTTGTCTTTGAGTTTAAACTATTAGTGTTATACATTTTCTGAAAGCTCTTTTCAAGGGCTACCCAATGGTAATATTAATATTTAGAAATACGGTAAAGACAAGGGAGTTACAGACGCGCGAAAGTGACGATCGTTTTTTAAATATGATATTTCATTGTCCAGTAGTGTAGCTAAACAAAAAGCCAAACCAATATTGCTGTCAACTAGCTAACGTTTAGCTACTCGTAACTATTATCAAACCATAGAGTTTGATAACTATTATCAAACCATAGAGTTTGATAACTATTATCAAACCAGTTTGAGAAAAAAGTTCATTAATGTTTATTCAGCGAATGCAGCGGATATACAGGCTGCGGCATAGTGTTTCACTCTACAAAAGAATGATTTTCTCAAAAACTAAAAGAGTTAACAGTTTTTTCGTTTAGACATTTAAAATCTACGGACACTTTTTCACTAGATTCATGAGTTTTTGTAAAAATTTAAAGCTTCATTCGTTTCATATAAAACTTTAAATGTTATTTGAATGAATTCAAAATAAAATCTGTCAAAAATGTGCCCATTTGTTGCCAAGATAACCTGCAATAATGAAGTTGAGATTGAATAACTTTATTGGGAATGGTTTGGGTACTAAACAAATAGCTATATTCCTCTAAATAAGTGATTCAGATCAAGAATAACTGTTTTATCTGAATGATAACTGAGCCCATTTTTGCTAGCCAAGATTGTTAGCCAAGATAACCTCGTATTTGCAATAATCAAGTTCAAAAAGCACTACTTTTATAGTAATTAACTCTAAAAACGTATTAATGCAGAAGAAGCCAGAAAAAGACGATTTTTATAGACTCCAGACTCGAATTTAACTGTTTTTCAGCCGCATAGCATAACATTTTTTGTATTGCTTAACTAGGGTTGTCAAAGTCATTAAAAGATTTTTCGGTTCTTTTATTCTATGAAAAATTAGGCGTAGATTTTGTGATTAATTGTTCTTTATCAGCTTAAATTAATGTATTGTTTTAGAAAGCCAAAAAATGCATTAAACGTAACAGTACATATGCCGCATCTGGTACTTCATAGTGAATAACCTATAGAATAGTACCAAGTAGAAATAGACAATCGAATTCAAATTAAAACCATTTAAATCGGATCGAAATGGATCGAATTGAAAAATCTATCAAATGAATCAAATCGGATCCAATCCGATTGCTAGGCTAATCGAATTAGATCCGTTTGCTAAGCTAATCGAATCCAATCCGATTGCTAGGCCAAATCGAATCAGATCCGATTAGCGAATCAAATGAATCAAATGAATCAAATGAATCAAATGAATCAAATGAATCAAATTGAATCGAGTCCAATCGATTCATTCAATTCAAATCCGATTCAATCCGATTCAAGCCAATTCAAAACCATGTCTAGTACCAAGTACTATAGTTGTAGAGGTTTTAAAGTTCTCTGTACTTTAACAACTTCAATTTCTAGGCCTCCGGTCTTCCTCTATCAATCATCATCGTTGGTGTCGGCTATGATTCGTTTGAAGAGATGAAAGTTTGAAGAGAGTGTCAGACTCTGACAATCAGCTCTTGTCTTGTCTTAAGTGCATGGTTCTTTTCCAGCTTAGTTTAATGTATTGTCTTAGAAAGCCAAAAAATGCATTAAACGCAACACTATACCGCACCCTGTACTTCACTTTATGATAATGGTGTTCTTTTAGTGAGTAGAAAACAATATAAATTATTGGAAGGGTTTTTCAGTAGAGAATAATATAAAATCTATTGCTAATAGAGAAATCTAGAAATCTATTGCTAATCTAGAAAACTTGCTTCTCCAATAGCTCGAATGGCTGTCTCATATTGATTGGCGGTTCCTGGTTCAATTCGATGGAGTGAAGATGGATCATCTGGTGTCAGATTTGAGCTCGCAAAGTCCACAGCCACCGTGAAATCCAATTCGGTTCTGAATTTATTCTTTTTTTTCACAAATTCACTTTTTGTTTTTATTAGATTACTGCTTTAGATTACTACTGCATTATACACTTGATAACCTGAAGAATTTACATTTAAAATGTCCTGTAAGGCTGTAATTTGCTGTAGAGTGTACTGTAAGTCTGTAATTTGCTGTAAAGTGTACTGTAAGTCTGCACTTTGCTGTAAAACCTACTGTGGCTCTGTAATTTGCTGTAGAATGTACTGCAAGACTGTAGCTTGCTGTAAAATGTCCTGTAAGTCTGTAATTTGCTGTAGAATGTACTGCAAGTCTATAATTGGCTGTAAAACCTACTGTAAGCTCTTTAACTTGCTGTAGGCTGTACTGTAAGTCTGTAAGTTGCTGTAGAATGTACGGTAAGTCTGTAATTTGCTGTAAAACGTACTGTAAGTCTATAATCTGTTATAGGTATAAGGTACAAGCGCTAGACTATTTCAGCTTTAGTGCTATTTTTTTTGACCAATAAATCTAATCCAATTTTTTTTTGACTACCTTTCCAAATTTAGCTCTGTTCTTTTCCGTCACTAGCAACTACTACGATTTGCACTTTTTGTAAAACTAATGAGGAAATTTTTCGACTGAGAAAATTCTAGATGGAAAGCACAAAATTGCAGGCTGGGAAAAAGATGTTTGTTTCTAATTATGGCTTGGGAAAGATTACAGAAAAAGAGCGCTATGTATTAGGTACATGCATAAGAAATGCGGATTTCAAGATTTTCATAAATTACCAACGATAGAAACCTGATATCGATGCATTATATCGACCAGTTTATAAACCATTTGAAAGTTGTAAATCTCCTCTACAAAATAGGCTAAAATGTGTTTCAATTGATCGAACCATTGAAGAGATTTCGAGGACGAACGGCGAGTGCCCAAAAAAGGAATCGAGTTATTTTAGGGACAAGTCTAGTGTGGTCAAAATAGAGTTAGCTTTCCAAAATTGAAGATTCGAGGAATCTCCATTGAATCATTGAAGAAATTTCGATTGATCGAACCATTGAAGAAATTTCGAAAGGACGAAATGCGAGTGACCAAAAAAGGGCATTTTTTGAAAACCCCACTTTCACAAGAATTCGGTTTTGACTATATAGTGGAAAATGAGCGCCCTAAATTAGCCTAAAAATATCATTCAAAATAATTAAGAGTTGGGATCATTTCATTTGAAAACTTTGTTTTTACAATAATTTTTCTTTTTTGTGAAAAAGCCGGTTTTTTGACAATTTTAAGGATTTTGAACTTACGCTCTATCTAAATTTCTGTAATTTCTAAATTTCTAAGGCATTTCCATTAGACTTTTTTAATGAATTGATATATAGTTATCCTTTTTTTTAAATCTTCAATTTTGGGAAGCCAACTCTATTTTGACCACACTAAACTTGTCCCTAAAGTGACTCGATTCTTTTTTTGGTCACATCCAACTTTGAACTCAAATTTCTTGGTGTTAGGCTGTTCAATTGAAATATTCTTGGTGTCATTAGATGCGTCAATTCTTTCTCTATCGATTGGTAAAAAAACTATTTCAATTCAACAGCCGAACACTAAGATATTTGAGCTCAGAGTTGGATTGTCAATGGCAAAAGGAGCGGCCAAAAAGTGCCCTTTTTTGGTCAGCTCGCATTTCGCCCTCGAAATTTCTTCAATGCTTCGATCAATTGAAACCCATTTTAGCCTATTTTGTAGAGGAGATTTACAACTTTCAAATAGTTTACAACATTCATCGATAACATTCATCGAGATCAGGTTTCTATCGTTGGAAATTTATGAAAATGTTGAAATTCGTATTTCTTATGAATGTACCTAATAATAATAGAGCTATAATAAAGAGCTATAATGCTATAAAGAGCTATAATGCTATGAAGAGCTATATAATAAAGCTCTGAATTTTTGAGAATGATTTTAAAATCAAAAATCAACGCACCCTTCATGAACAAAATCGAGAAAGGTGAAGTCAAGCCAGCAATAGACGCGATGAAAGTGAAGTTGACCAGAATCGACGTATTTACGGCTTTTTCTCGCTTTCTTCTCGTGAATCAACTAAATCAGTGATTGGTTTAAGATATGAAGATAGTTTAAGTTTAAAATATAGAACTTGTGTCTAAGTGTCTAAGCAAAGTGTCTAAGCATATTTCTCAAGAAGCTTTGCCATATTTGCCTTGAGCAGAATGTTTTAAGAACATTTTTAATATGCTGATGCTGATGATGCTGATGCTGATGCTGATGCTGATGCTGATGCTGATGATGATGCTGATGATGATGGACTACACGATCTCTACTTCATTGAAAGAGAAAGATTGTCTTTTTTGAAAGAGAGAAAGATTGTTTTTGTTTTTGCCATACTGTAGCTGACCTTGACCTATTCTATGAAAGGTTTGTATGAATGTGAACTTTTTGTTTAAGAACTCGTCTCAATGTGTCTGATTTTGGTTTGGTTCAATTCGTTGACGGATTTCAACTGACTCAACACCAAATAAATGATATAATAATAGAAATACAGGGTGACACAAAACTCCGAAGCTACCTTGTTTTTCGATCGTCAAATTCAGCTTTTAAGATAACAAAAAACTATCCAATGCTAAATCTTCTTATAAAAGTTTTTAATTATAGCAATTATAGTTAAATTTAAGGCTTTGGCAAAGGTCAAAAGGTCTTTAAAAGGCAAAGATCAAGCATTTAAGACAAAGATCAAGCCTTTAAGACAAAGATCAAGCCTTTAAGGCAAAAATCAAGCCTTTAAGGCAAAGATCAAGTCTTTAAGGCAAAGATCAAGCCTTTTAATTGGCAATATATCGCCAGAATTAACCCAAATGCCTGGCCGCTTGAATTTCTCTCAAAAACCATCTGAATTTTCTGAAGTTTGTAATTAAACGTAGTCGGTCAAAGGCAATCCTAATTTTTTAAAATCTTTCCAGACAAATAGCAACGATTGATTGATCAGATACAGATTGATTGAAGCTGAAACGCAAAACTTATAGCTCTAAAGAGTTGGCGTAATCGTAAAGTAATCGGATTTCTAGTTTTAACTTAAGTACTCACTTAAGATAGTTCTGTATACTCGATGAGAAGGTTCTGTTTTTGCGGAAAAATCTTTTCTAGAACGAAATTGCATCTAGATCTCGAATTTTCAAACCGTTTTTCAACAAATGTCTAAAGATTTAAAGACTTAAAGACTAAAGACTTAAAGACTAAAGACGTTAAAGACTTTAAAGACTTAAAGACTAAAGACTTTAAAGACTTAAAGACTAAAGACTTTAAAGAGTTAAAGACTAAAGACTTAAAGCCTAAAGACTTAAAGACTTAAAGACTAAAGGCGTTAAAGACTTAAAGACTAAAGACTTTAAAGACTAAAGGCTTTAAAGACTTAAAGACTCAAAGACTAAAGACTTTAAAGACTTTCTAAAGGCTTCGAACTTTTGTATCGCTCTGCATTCGATTCTCAAGTGTTTTCCTTGACAAAAACAATGCCAGCAATGTTATTTTCAAAAAGTAATTACTGAAAGCGAAACGTCCTCGCCGGAGACCAAACGATTAACCGTCGTGGTACAAGATCCCACGAGATCGTGGCTGAAAATTTGAATGTTTATCACTTGTTAGCAGTTGAAAGCACTCTTCTCTGATTGATTGCGCAGAAAATTGGACTTTTTCTATTTCTAGAAAGTTTTTGTAGAGGTTTTTCTCTAGTTTTTCTCTAGTTTTTCTCTATTTTTCTCTTTTGAACAAGCACATAATAAGGGATTATCGGGGGGAATTTATATACTACTTTAAAAGCTTGATTAAACTTTGTTTTATGATTACACTTCTCTTCTCTATGCTAAATTTTAAAGAACAAAAAGAGGGGAGTGGGACAAATGCGACCTTTTTTTGCGCACCCGGACATTTGCGCACCCGGACATTTGCGCACCTTTTTTTCCGCACCTTGCCCATTAGCGCACCTTTTTTCGCGTTTTAAAAAAGCTCTAAAAAGCTAATATTAACCAATTTCTATTCCAAAAGTTGTTTTTCTAGGTATTTTTAGGGCGTAGAATCGAAATTTTGACATATCAGAGCTTGTGGAAACAAACGGATGGAGTTATACAAAGGCCGACAATTTTCTGTAATTTGATCTAGTCGTTTTGTCTTTCAAATTGGTTCCACAGGCTCAAAATTCGTCATTCGTTTGTTTTTAAGGATCAGTTACCAGTTCAGCACCTGTTTTTTTTTGTTTTGCTAGACTCTTGAGCCTTCAACTTTCTAAGGTATCACTTCAAATCTAGTACTGACATCCAAAAATAGCATATTTACAAGCTAGCTGGGTATTACTCTCCAAATTGCGTTTTTTCAAACTTCCAAATTTCATTCACCAGCTTGTTATTTGCCTTTTTAGTCTGTTTATTTGTTGGAAAGCTTGCGGATCTTTGTGAATCTTTTGTGTATGAGAAGCCCCAATTTTTCTCAAACTTTAGCCCAAGTTTTTTTTGTCAGCTTTCTTTGTTTTGTCAATAAAGCAATCTCGTGAATGAAAGGAGAAAATAAGCCCAAAAATTTTCACTTTGATGAGAAATTTTTAAGCCAAAGTACCGCAAAATCTTTGCGTGGATTTAAAAGCGGTTTTTTCGAGGGATTTGCTAAAATTTCTAAAGCTGGTACAAAGATACAATAAATGTTAGTAATTGATGATTTCAAAAAAATTTATAAGCTCGATTCTTGAACTTCTTTTGAGCTTCTTAATCTTAATTCTTAATTCATCAAGATAAAAACCCACTTTCCGTCTTGATCCCAATCATAGCACTCGATGAGGAAAGCTCTAAACTTTGTGATTTTGAGGTTTAATGGATTTTGTGTTTTTTTGCATCAAACAGAACTTAGAGAACTGGATTATCCATTAGAATTTGATTTTCTAACTAAACACGGATCTATATAGCAAATAATCACATCAGCTTTACGTTTCTATCGAAGTCTTTCTTCCTGAATAGAAACTAGAAATTCTCGAGGCTGAATTTTCAATGAAAAATCAAATCGCGTTTATTTCAAAGTTTCAAAATTCGTTTTAAGTTTAAGTGAAAATCTTCATCTTCAAAATACCAAAGGATTCAAGAACTACGGTAAAAAGCTCCAAAATCTAGATTACTGTATTGCCATATTTCAGCAGTGATTTCTACAGAGTGACAAGAAAAAATCTATACATAACTTCAACTCTCTTTATAAATGGATAGACAAAAAACGACTTTTGAATCTATTATTGAACTCTCAGTAGCATAAAAACGAATTATCTTAAAGCTAGCTTTATCCGATATTTTTTGGCAGCCATTGGAGGCTTGACATTCAAATTCTCTGGGCAACTATTTTTTCAGAAAAATCCTTGGTCTTCAGTTGAGAATTTTGAGCTTGTAGGCAAGCCATAAGTTTTTTTTTTGGCACAAAGAGTTAATTCTCGTGTTTTTCAACTAGAAAACACTCTAGCTTACGAAAAAGGACTCAACAGCTTTCCAGAGTAGCTAGGTGGCTTTCTAGAGTAGTTACTTAGCTTTCTATGGTAGCTAGCTAGCTTTCTAGAGTAGCTAGGTAGCTTTCTAGAGTAGTTATCAAGCTTTCTAGAGTAGCTAGCTAGCTTTCTAGAGTAGCTAGGTAGCTTTCTAGAGTAGCTAGGTAGCTTTCTAGAGTAGTTATCAAGCTTTCTAGAGTAGCTAGGCAGCTTTCTAGAGTAGCTAGCTAGCTTTCTAGGGTAGCCAGGTAGCTTTCTAGGGTAGCTATCTTTCTAGAGTTCATTTTTGGCTCATTTTTCAGCGAGGAAGATAGAAATTCTCTAACATCGCTAGAAAAAAAAAGATAAATCTGAAATGAGCCGTTAATTTTGTAATTTCTAGCTATCAATGCACAGGTAGCGAGAATTTGAAGTAGATTCGAGATTTAGCAACTGAAAACCAAGCATTTTTAAGGACGGGTTATTTCTTGTCACTCTTTATAATATTTCACAATCTTTTTCAAGCAAATCAAATTCAAACTAAGCCTAGAAGTCAATTCAAACAAAGATATGCAAATTTTGCATAAAACTTCTTGTTCTTCTAAATCTTTCAACTCTTTCCAAGAAGCATATGCCTTTTTTTTCCTCAAAACAAAGATTAAACGGGCTTCCGACTGTGAAAGTAAACGTGATTAAAAGATCTGATCAAAAAACACCTCCGATTTCTGAACATTTGTTAAAAAAATACTCCCAGACTTTACGTGGATCTTTGAAAAACTTCAATTCACTCATTTTTCGTACTCTAGACTTGCCCTTGGTTTGTAGAAGATCTTCGAAAACACGCTTTTTTCCACAAAAATCTATCAAAACAAGCCACCCACTTTCATTCATTAAAAAATTCAAAATTCCTTTTGAGCTATGAATGAGCTGAATATCGAGATAAAATTTTCAAGAATCAGCCCATTTGGGGATTAGATTGGTGACCTTTTTCAAATGTTTTCTAGATCTTCCTAAAAAGTTTTCACAAACAATTAATTCCAACCTGTTTTTGTCACCATAACAAAGTTGATCAATGTGCACTTCAAATGGTTTCCACTTGGGATTCAAATTTTGTTCTCTGTACCGTGATCGGTAGGCGAGTTGGAAGCTGAAAATTTGTGTGAACAATAAAGGATTTTTACCATAAACAAATGAATTCCATGAACAAATGAATTCCATGGACAATGATGATTCAAATGCTACAGTAAAATGTACAAAACTCATTGCTTGATTGTACCTACATAACCTTAGCTCACTAGTAACGCACTGGCTCACTAGTAGCGCACTAGTAACTTTAGGTAAACATGGACGTTGGTAAACTGCATAGAACTGTAGACTACGGTTTTTCAAGAAACCGTAAATCAAGCTTGAATTGTTCAAGACTTGGCTAACAAAAAGATATAAGCTAATTAAGCTCTCCATTCAGTTTAATAAGTTCAACAATAGCTACTTTCTGACTCCACCATTTCACTACAATGTCCAAGGTCACAAAAAAACTATGGGCTTTTGGTAATATACCGTATTCTCTCTAATAGTAGTGCACCCTGAGCGTCGCCTAAATTGCTCGAAATCTCGAGAACCGCTTATCAGAACCTATCGATGTGGGGTCGAAAGATGTAGCTGACGGTGAGATCTTGTGGGGGATTTGAGTGTTGAGCTTCTGTGAAAACTTAGAAACCGTAAAATAGTCATCAACTCGGCTCGGCCGGGTGTACTACTATTAGAGAAAATACGGTAGTTTCAAGTCTAATTAAATTCAAAAGTACCAAGTGTTAAATAGAGAAGTCCTGAATTTTGGCTACATTTATCTACCGCGAAACTTTCTAATTATAAAATTTGATTCGACTACTAAGCTCGCAAATGAGCTCTGGCTTAGGCTTAGGCTTGGGCTTAGGCGATGAGATCTTGTGGGGGATTAGAGTGCTGAGCTTCTGCAAAAGCTTGGAAACCGTAAAATAGTCATCAACTCGTCTCAGTGTGGTGCACTAATATTAGAGAGAATACGGTAGTTGTCAAAGGTCTAATTTAATTCAAAAGTACCAAGTGTTAAATCAGAGAATTGAAGTCCTGAATCATGGCTACATTTATCCACCGCGAAACTTTCTAATTTTAAAATTTGATTCAACTACTAAGCTCGCAAATGAGCTCTAGCCGGCTTTTCCTCAGAACGCTGCCATTTTTGACGGATTTCTTGAAAAAAAATTATTTAGGAACGCTTTCTTGAATGAAATTTGTATTATTTCTGTCTAATAAGCTATTTTCAACAAATTTATAACAAATTTATAACGAGTTACAATACATTTTTTGTTTAAATCATCAGGAAATGCTCATTCCTCACTTTTTTTTACAGAACTTCTATGAGAACTTTCATGATTAACTCAAATTTTTATCAAGGCAGATAGGCTAAAACATTTTGGTGTTATGCTATTTAAATATTTAATGTCATTAAATGAAATTAAATGCTTTTTTCATAAAATCTAGATTAAAAAACCTTTTTCTAAAGAAATTCGTCAAAAATGGCCAAAGAAAAGCCGGCTAGAGCTCATTTTGGAGCTTGGTAATTGAATAGAATTTTATCATTTGGTAGATAGATAAATACAGGGTGCGTATAATTATTGCAACAAGAGTTCAAAGACCGTTTTAAAGAAGAAAGTTTTAAAGAAGAATGTGATGTCATGGGCGTGTAAAGCCAATAACAATCAAAATTGGACCTTCATGCAAGATGGAGCTCCCGCTCACGGTTCAGGACTGGTGTGTGGCCAACTTTCCCTCAGTGATCACCAAGGATGAATGGCCTCCAAACTCACCGGATCTCAATGTGATGGACTTTTCCATTTGGGCAATCTTAGAGGCTCTTTGACCTCTTAGAGTCTGCTCTTTGACCTTGAAGAAGTCTTTGACCAAAGGATGGAAGGCGACTCCTCAAGATGACATTCGGGCCGCAGTGGAGGCATATCCGAACCGATTAAAGGCTGTTATCAAGGCAAAAGGCGGTCATATCGAATGATCTCTTGTTTTCTTATTTGTTACTGTTAAATAAAGCTATTTCTGTTTAAAAATCTTCTTCCAGTGAAACTTCTTGGTGTGCAATGCCTTGAGTATCTTGTTGCAATAATTATGACGCACCCTGTATTTCCCTTCCAAAACTAATCTCTAAATGATTAAAGTTTACATTTTTGAAAATATCCGAACTTTGAAAGCCCTTTCTACTTCTCTCACTCACGTATTATCCCAGTTGATTCGGGAAATCTTCAAAAATGGATCGCATTTACCGAGAAAATCCTTTCGATCCAGCTTTGTTGCGCTGAAAAACCTCCATTTTTGACACCGGATGTTTTAGAGGGAATAAAATGTATGTGTTTTGTCATGACACAAAAATGATGAGGTAAAACAAATCCTGATTTGATACCTGCACATGAAATACACGGATTCTTGCCGACCTGAGCCCATCTCTTCAGCTGTCACCGTGATACTACCGTATCGTTTACCGTCTTCTCTGAAAATTTTGAATAGCCAGCAATTTGATGAATTTGCATATCTAATAAGAATTCTAAAAGCTTGGGAATTAGAAGTTCTGTGTATTTCAAAAAGTCAAGCTGAAACTTTGAAGAGAAGCAAGTGCAAAATTTTGAGGAAAATCTGCGAACCTATAAAGAAGTATAGATGTCGTAGCCGATTATGAATGAAATTTTTTGGTAAATCTTTCCAGTAGAGCAACCCTTTAATGTATGAGGACAATATTATATCATCCTGTAGTGAATTAAATTCTGCGTCGATTGGTACCAAATTTGTGAGTTTAGGTTAAAAATTACCGGCGCTACAACGTTTCATTCAAAATCGGCGGGACCCCCGTAGCCGATTATGAATTTCAGCCGATTATGAATGAGTGGGTCTAGGCGATCATCTAGGAGAGCTTCCAACCATCTAGGAGAGCCTCCAACCATCTAGCAGAGCCTCCAATCATCTAGGAGAGCTTCCAACCATCTAGGAGAGCCTCCAATCATCTAGGCGCGTCAAATCATCAAGTATTTAGTATCATTTAGTATCTAGGAGAGCCTCCAACCATCTAGGAAAGCCTCCAATCATCTAGGAGGGCCTCCAACCATCTAGGAGGGCCTCCAACCATCTAGGAGAGCTTCCAACCATCTAGGAGAGCCTCCAATCATCTAGGCGCGTCAAATCATCAAGTATTTGGTATCATTCAACGCAGAATCATTAATAATTATGTTAAATTTTTAAAATTAGAAAGATTTGTTAAAAAGAAAAAGAATTATGGGGCCTCAAAGTTTCCTCTTGAACAAACAGTTTTTTTGCTCTAATTTTTTTTCTTTTTATCCAATCTTTCTAATTTAAAAAATTTAACATAATTATTAATGATTCTGCGTTGAATGATACCAAATACTTGATGATTTGACGCTCCTAGACCCACTAATTCATAATCGGTTACGACATATAAACTAAATTTTTTTGGTGCAAGCTTCAGGAAAATTGTTTGGTTACCTGGTTGATGAGAAAGATCTACTGAAAATGATGGCGATTTTCGGTAAAGATTTAGAAATTTGCATAACATACACGAGTGGCACGGTGACTCGATTGTATTTGGCGCCGACGATCTCGTGAAGAAGCACCATTGCACTACCCAATCGAGTCGATTTCCCAGCCTTTTCCCAGTCAAATCTAGAATTTTCCATTCTTTCTTTGTAACAATTTTAGTTTTACTTTCTTTAGCAATAAATTTTGGGCACTAATAACCTGGATCAGTTTCAGTAATTCTTTAATTTATCAAAACCAGCAGAACAGCTGGTTCAGAAAAAGTTCGATCCAGCTTTCCCGAAACGCCTGCGAGCCTGCTCAAATGTTAATGGTGGCTGATTCGAAATTGATAGTTAATTTATAATTGTTAATGTACAATAAATGTTATTCAGTTAAAAATTTGTCTTTTTTGCTCTTGTCTGCTTTAAAATCAGAAATTTCTCTTGTTTTGACATATATGGCGCACCCTGTATTTAACTTTTATTTAGAGAAGTCTAATTCAATTGGCATATTAAATAAAATAAATATGTTTTATGGAAAATACGAAAAAGTTTACCAACTTTCAAGTTGCCAATTTAATAGTTTGTTGAAATCGGGTTTAGAAGGTTACAAAGGGGTTACAAAGCCAGAGTTTTTGGGCGAATTTGGAACATTCCTGTTAATCATTCCATTATTTGCCTAAGTTTACTGCCTAAAACTAAAACTAGAGCCTAAAGCCTACTAAAGCCTAAAGCCTACTAAAGCCTAAAGCCATTTTCAAATGATATTCGATTGATAAAAGGTTTCATTACTTCTTTGACTAACTTTTCACTAACTAAACTAACTTTTCACTGGATTGTAAGCTCGCGAAAAACTCACACTTCAAATAAAAGCTTCTGTTGCTCTTCGAAAGCATAAGTCAATTGGATTTTCGTGGCCCAATCCGGATTCAAACAGTTGTTAATCACCTAAAACTTGTAGTTAGTTTTGTTTAAAGTTACTACTTGTTCAAAGCTGATACTTAACACAAAACTTGTACAGAGAGTCCACGAATTTCACTCTTTTATCCATAATTTTACCCTTTTACCTATAATTTTATCGATAAAAATTCAAAGGTTGTTAAACAAAGTTCATCGAAATACTCAGAGGAAGATTTCAAATTGAAATCCGATCTCAAATTTTCATAATTGATTGGAGATTTTCTATATCATTAAAGTATACAATTTTCTATTGGGTTGTCCAGTTATGAATGCGCGTTTTTACTATTTTGTAAATTTCTCAAGACATCGAACAGATGTATATGAGTGTTATATATCATTTGAAAGCTGAAGATCTCCTCTACATTTTGGAATAAAAATTTTTTTGAAGGCATGCAACTTTCTGGGAAATTGACTGCACAAAGGGAGAGGTCGTTTTCGAAAAAACCCATTCCAGCTTCGCTATTCCTCAAGTTTTATGGTGTAAAATAACCGCCCAGAAAAGAAAAGATGCTCTGAAATTGTTATATTTAAAAAAAGTTGTATTGATATATCTATTGGCCAAACATCAAACGGTTAACTCAATTTGAGCGGAGTCAAAACTTGATCCAAAGGCACCCTTCCACTTTTTGGTCACCTCTTCTTCTGTGCCATCAATTTGCCCAAAAGCTGAACAAATTCAAAAACTTTTTATATCAAAATGTAGAGGAGATCTTCAGCTTTCGAATAATACTCATATATATCTTTTTCTTGATTTCGGTATCTTGAGAAATTTACAAAATAGTAAAAAACGCGCATTCATAACTGGACAATCCAATATATCATTAAAGTCTACTTTTCTCTCAAATACTTGAAAATTCTAGTTTAAAGCTATCGGGAAGATTTCTCGAAACTCTTTAATCTCGTACAAATTGTATGCAAGTTTTTGTAAGATTTAATCATGATTGTCACCAAAATTTGCATGATTTCAACTTTAAATTATCATATTGTATAGTCTAGTCAGCTCGATTCTGACAGGAAAAACTTGTTTTTAACACCTAACTGTTTTTAACAGCTAATCACAGCTTAATAGCTAATCACTCAAATCAACTCAAATTTTGTTAGAACAAAGACTTTTTAAGCTTTTCAACAATGGGTTTCAAGTTTGTGAATGACAAAGAAACGCAATCAGCAATGAAATAATCGTGTTATTTTTGACATTTGGTTATTTCTCTTGCTAACCTCGGTCTTTCCTACGTAACGCCAGCGCCTTGGTGGCTTAGGTTTTCGCTGAAAAGTATTAGTCCTAGAAAAGTTAGGATTCAGTGCGATACAGATACGATACATAAACTCAATTCGATAATTTTGTTAAACTGTTAAACTGTTAAACTTTTACCTCCGTTCGGCCAAGTTCTTTCCATTTCTTTGTCGTGATCGGTCCCATTGTCATCACGGAGACGACACAAAATGGATCCGAGACTGACTCCAGATCTGTGTCTCGAAGGTCTCTAAAAATTTAACAGTGATTTAACAGATTTCTTTCCAGATTTCTTTCCAGTTTTCTTTTTCCCCAGTCTAGCTTTGAATCTCAATACAGAATTACAAGTTTTCCTAGTTTTCCTATTCCCAAGGAACTTCTTGTTCTTGATCTTGACTGATTCTTGATGACTAAAAGACTAATTACAAGGAAATGACATCATCATGAAGTTCAAAATCCGCTTTGTGACCGAGTGCATCTTATAGAATCGGCTATGACAAGTACAATAAACAAAGCCTACGAGGGAATGATCGAAGTTGAGAATCGATTCTGGGTGCTGATGCCGATTCTTATTGAATCGGCTATGCTGATTCTGAATCTGTAAAAATTAGCTGCAAACACCCACGCAATCGCAAAGAATCTGGCATAGAAAATTCCCATAAATTTCGGACTCTGACTCTTCATGGGGTCGCCACAAAGAAGGTTTTCAACGGCTTCGGTAGGGTAGATAGTGAGTGTGCTAGCCTACGGAACTTTCTTGGCTTGGGTTCGAATCCTTCCCTGGTCAATCCTTTTTGTTTTTTTTTTGGAAAATTCTTTTTCTGATGTCTCAAAATAGTTTATCGATTTCAACGTAGACTGATGAACTTCAAAATGCAATGAACAATGTAAAGCTTTGCACAAACAAACTACTTTGTTTTACAAAGAACACTGCTTTTGCTACCAGAGCTAATAAATTCATGAATGATGGCATCGAGAAATCCGAAACTTAAGGAAATTTTCTATGCCAGATTCCTTGCGATTGTGTGAGCGTTTGCAGGTAATTTGCGTGGGCGGTAATTCTTAACGATTCAGAATCAGCATTCTATAAGATGCACTCGGTCACGAAGCGATTTTGAACGTCGAGCTGGTGTCATTCCCTTGTTAGATATTTTTGACAGGCCCATATCCAGTATTTCGATGTTTTTGGGAGAATCGCTACAGCTTCATCCAGAAGCACCCAATCAATTTACACCCAAAGAAGAAAATTTAGCAAAATCTTCGAGCTATATTATGGCTACAATAAAATGTTTCTAAAATTAAATTCCCTTTTAATTTAAAGCTTGTAGAGTGAGCTAGAGGGGCTCAAAGATGGGCAGAAGCGACAATAAAGTGACAGCCCAACTTTAAGCCCCTTTAGCTCGCTAAACAAGCTTTAAATCAGATTTTTAGCTCACATGTCCTATGTAAAACGACACGGATAATCGATTAGAGGAGGTTAGAAATTTCCTGGATAAAGGCTAAGAGTCTAAAACCGTCTAAAAGAGGCTAAAGCCGCAACCGCTCTAAATTTTCTGCCTTGGGTGTAAATCGATTGGGCTCTTCTGGATGAAGCTCTAGCAATTTTCCAAAAAAGACCGAAATCCTGGTTATGAGCCTGATTCTTGACTAGAGCGTGCTCCTCACAATTAATACGTTTTCTAAAACGCGGGCACGAGAAAAAGTATCGTAATCTCGTCGAGAAAACAAGCAAAATTCAATCTATGCAAATTTTTAGCGGAAAAACGTTTATTTTTGCCGTTTTATTACAAAAAATAGTGATTTTTCTTATCCATAGGCGCTTTTTCTCAAATTTTATCGTTTTAGAATCTACCGATACTCTTAATTTACCGATAGAAATCATTCTCTTTAAGTGAAAATCAAAAAATACCGGAGAAAAAATGAATTCGGTAATACTTTTGATTAAAGCACAAGAGAACAAAATTAATGAGAAAAGAAAATAAGACAAAATTTATAAAATATATGAAATAAGCGGGGGTGGGACAAATGCGACCTTTTTTCTGCTGGAAAAGGCCTTAGGAAAGGTCGTAGAGCTTCGAAAATATTCCCACATAAGGGAATCGTATGCGTAGATTCAGAATTTGGACAAATCAGACCTCGCTGACACGTCAAATTTGGGCTAAAAGGCAAAAACTACGCAACTTAACGCTTTTCCGCAGTTTTTGCCTTTTAGCCCAAATTTGACGTGTCAGCGAGGTCTGATTTGTCGAAATTCGGAATCTACGCATACGATTCCCTTCTATGAATACATTTTTGAAGCTCTATGACCTTTCCTAAGACCTTTTCCAGCAAAAAAAAGTGCGCAAATGTCCAGGTGCGCAAAAAAAGGTCGCATTTGTCCCACCCCCGAAATAAGCATAAAATTTTGTTATAGCCTTAATTTAATTTAGCTAAATAGCTGGCCAATGCGAATAAAAAACGCACTAATCAACGATTAATCGATTAAAATTTTAATCGTCTAACTTTGATCGATTAATTAATTGATCACGCGGAACGGAACGGAACAAACGCAGATCACGGAACGCGGAACACATTCAATTCTCAATTTACCGTGAATACTGTAATAGTACCCCTATCTCATAATGACGGTGCGGAGTGTTGTGTAGTCTGGCTTTGGACGAGTTTTTCTCGATACTGGTTTATGCTACAATGCGCGCTTAGGTATCAAAAATAGCTGAAATTCAGGGCTATTTTTTCATACCAAAGACGCATTTTTTGAAAGTACGGGCGCTTTGCAAAAAATGAAATACTAAAAAACTTTTGCGACTACGAGACTGTACGAGGGGGCTGGGGTGCTATTACAGTATTTATGGTAGGTATTAGTGGGTAAATCAAGGCAATAATCTATTCTAGTTAAAAGATAGATTTATTCTTATGGTTAGTTTGACTGATAATCTGCAAGTGACACGACAAACCTGGCTGAAATGGTGAGCACCATCTTGGCCACTTGCTCCTCGAACTCATCACTCGCCCGCCTCATTCTCTGCAAATTCATTAAGTGAAAAAAAGCCTAAGCCATTCATAAAATGAAAAGCATAAGAGCCTAAAACATCAAAAATTCAATCGAAAATGAAAAGGAGCCTAAACATCTCGTGAAATTTTGATCTTTGCAATGAAAACATTTGTCAAATCTCCTCAAAAAGCCAACGATCTCAGCTATAAGCGACGAGAATCTCACATTCCAGAAGTGAATCGGAACGCAATTTGCCATAAATAATACATGAGATTGGAGAAAGGAAAAGCCGTGCACGGGAAAGGGGAAAAGGATGGGAGAGGGTACCAAATGGGATGAATCTAACTGGAGGAAAGGACAGGGGACAACGATGAGAATAGGGAATACCTAGAAATGTTGAGAGGAGGACATTTCCTGGTTTGGCTGCAATTTAATGTTGTCATTGTTCTTATTAACATCAGTTTTGCACGTAAAGATGATAGCTAACATTGGCTCTGAACTTAAGTACTCAAGCCAGGCCAATTCAAGAATGGTAGCTAATTTCTTGAGTTCCGAGAGTTTCCGATTTTAATATATTGTCATTCTAACATCATCTTTGCATTTAAAGGTAACCTTAAATAACTTTCAATACTTTAAATACTTTTAATATAAATAACATTAAATATAAACACTTAAATAACGTCAAGCTTTGCAAGATTGGCAACTACAGTCATGGACAAAAGTCTTTTAGCATTGGTTTTTATTGGGTTGGTGAATTGGAAACTGCCGGCTATTGTCATATATGACAGTTTGAGCACTTTCTTCAGAAGAAACCCATTTTGGTGTCAATGGAAAAGTTGTAGAGAATCAAAAATTAAGCTTATATCCAAATTTTCAGAACGATTCAAAAACTGGTTTTCAAGAAATGCCAAATTTACGAATTTTCACAAAACTTGCATTTTAAGCGAAACTACTAAGTGTATCTTTTTGGAAATTTGGCTATAAGCCTAATTTTTGATTCTCTACAACTTTTCTATTGACACCAAAATGGGTTTCTTTTTGAAGAAAGTGCTCAAATGCTCAAACTGGGACATCTCCAGTCCTCCATTTTTGAGTCTCACACTTGTCTCACACACAAACCAAAATCCTACTACGAAAGAGGAATCCGCAAATTGCCTGTAAAATGAGCAGAAGTCGTCAATAATAATGGAAATTATTTGGAATGAATTCATGGTTTTATGTTGCATAAATTTTAGTTCAAAGTCCGGCAGTTTTCAATTCACCAACCCAATAAATAGAAATACGAAAAGGAAGGAAAAGACTTTCTGGACAGCCTGATAACTTTTAAGAGTCAACACAAGAACACCAAAAAGCAACAGAAGTTCCGAAAAAAAACAAACAATTAAATCAAGATCACCATCAACAAAGCGGTGATGAATGGCTCTAGTTTGAGCCAGGAACAAGAGAGATAAACTCTCTTTTTGATCAAGAGAAATAACAATGAGATCATAAAGAAGCAACACCAGTAACGGATCAAATATTTCTTTCCTATTTTTAGATTACAAAGATGCATGTTTTAAAATCCCCAGGAAATTCAACCCTTTGAGGTCGATTCAATCCTTTTTGATTCAACCCTTCGAGGTCGTTTCGTGTTTTTTTGCATGCATGTTCTCCCCATCTCGAATTTCACCAATTCCCCGCCCGGGGCACACCTTTTATACAACGATTCATAAAACAGAAATTCTCTTAGTTCGTAAAAGTTCGGGCATGTGTTGAAAATGTTCAAGGCAAATGTTATTTAACACATCTGTTTTCGGTCGATCAGGAAGTTTCGAGGAAAGTCAAGAGTCAAGAGAAAAGACCATGAAATTTGAGGCATTCCCTAGTCAGCCGGGGTGTCTGAGTTTTTTCATTTCAAAGTTTAGAGTGTTTTATTTTGTTAAAAAGAGAAACTAGTTAATAAATTTTGTATAAAATGAGAAAAATAAGCTTTTTTGAAGGGTTTTTAGAAGGTACAGTACTGGACAATGAAATATGATATTTGAAGAACGATCGTCACTTTCGCGCGTCTGTAACTCCTTTGTCTTTACTGTATTTCGTATTACCAACGAAACGAGACAAATGAAACCAGCTGACGGGCAAGGAAAACGGCTGGGTTTTCGAGAATTTCATGTTTTGGGAACAAAGCAAAAACCAACATTGGGTCAAAATGAGATTTACTTTGAAAACTTAAAGAAACAGCCTTATGAATAAACAAGTTTTAAAACTCTAAGTAGTAAAAGTTTATAGTAAAAGCAAGCTTTTATATTCCCGTCACTCTCTGTCGCCTTTGCGCAGTCTAGAGCGCGCTTGTCTACTGTCGCTTAACGCTTGTCGCTTGTCGCTGTCTATAGCTCACACGCCACGGGTTCGACCCCTCGTTGTGCCACTTAATTTTGACTTTTATTAGGTTGAGGAAAAAGTAATGTCGGTTTTGAATTCCCGTTGTTGGCAATTTTCCAGTTCTTTGTTTTTTCAAATAGATACACTACTGGACAATGAAATATGATATTTGAAAAACGATCGTCACTTTCGCGCGTCTGTAACTCCCTTGTCTTTGAGTTTAAACTATTAGTGTTATACATTTTCTGAAAGCTCTTTTCAAGGGCTACACAATGGTAATATTAATATTTAGAAATACGGTAAAGACAAGGAAGTTACAGACGCGCGAAAGTGGCGATCTGGTTTTGATATCTGGTTTTTGAAGAGAAACTTTGAAGAGAAGTTTTGAAAGAGTAAAGATCAAAATGAGTTCCAAATACGAAAAAAAGTTTCAGGAATATGGTAGTTTCTGTCTGGAATCATAAAACAACAGTTTTTTTCTAAACTGCAGTTTTTTCAGTTCCATTTTTTCTCAAAAACTCAGAGTAATCAAATGTTTTCCGCAGATCGACAAGAAAAATATTTCCCTTGAGCCATGATCAAGATCGTAAATGAGCACCAACTGACAAAGGAAATACTGTAAAAAAAATGAACTCACAGCAAAAAGAAAAGCGAAGAAACGTGTTTTCTCTGTGACTTTTGTGGCCCAAGTAGAATAGATTGCTTTGTCAAGAAGTGAAATGAAAAGAAAAAGGTTGAAGACACAAAAAATTCGGTGGAAAACCAGGAACAGCTGTCAAAAACTCGGGTTGAAAGTAACAATGTTCCGAGTTTTCCCTGAGATATTTCAAGGGATATTATGAAATGACATGGATAAGAAATAGGTTAGAAATAGGTTAGAAAAAGATCTTTACGGTTATCGGGGGGGAGGGGGGCGAGTTTTTATTATTTTTTTATTATTCTTATTATTTTTATTATTTTTTATTACTAGCATAGCATTATTATAATTCAACCTAAATGTTAACTTATTAAACTTTAGTTTTGCTTTACTTCTTTTTGCTTTACGTTGCTTTACTTCTTTTTTGATTATTTATAATCTCTAAAAGGGTGCTTTACGGTTAACGGAAAGTCGAGCGATCGGGGAGAGGAGCGCGAGTTTTTCACCATTTTGCAGCCCGATTTTAGATAGGTTTTTGCAAATAACTTTTGATGAAACAAATGGTTTCTAAAGGTTGACGTTCTAAGCTATTTAAATCTTATTTAAACTTTCTGATCTGACAAGTTTAAGGTGCTTAAAAATGAGCTGCAAGTTCGCCAAAAAAGATGTTATAACTTTTTGTAGAGTTGAGCAAATTTTATGATTTTTGCATCAAAATGTTCGTAAGGGTCTCTAGAATAAAACTTATCCCTTCGTTTTTGGTTCTAGACCCTCGTTGTCGAGTTACGAGCTCCAAACTGCAGGGTACCACAAAATTTCCCATACAAAATGACCAAAAAAACAGCAAATTGCAAATTTCCCGGTTGAATGCAAATTTCACATCGTTATATTGAGAATATCGTTATATCAAACATTGTTATATCAAACATCGTTATATCAAGAGTTGTTTTAAGTAATTTTATATGGGGCTCGGCCAGGAATGAGCATAACCATCGTTATATTGAATTGTTATTGTTATATCCAGATTTATATCATATCCAGATTCGTTGTCATATCCAGAGTCGACTGTAAATGCTTTGGAAAGTTTGCTATGCATTTAAAGTGATTAGAAAGCAGCTAAAGTTGCAACAATGTAACAACAATGAAAGATCAACTTGATAGCAACACCTACAAAGTCTCCTCAACTTGATCAACTTGATAGCAACTCCTACAAAGTCTCCTCAACTTGATCAACTTGATAAACTTGATAGTAATCCTATAAAATAGAATCTTAGAGCTTTACAAGAACAAAATGTTTCGGATGAAACTAAATGAAAATCACAAAAATACAGAGGAAAGATTTTGGTTCTGGTTTTGATTTAGATGTTTTTATTCAGTTTTTCACAAAATGCAGGTGATTAAACTGAGCCACCTTTCAGCAATCTTATGAAATTTGTTACAACTCTCGTTCACCAAACACTAAAGAGTTGTGAGAGTGTGATTCAAATGACTAACAAGGGAAAGGTACCGAGTGACTCAACCAAATCTATCTTATCCCAAGCTGACTCAACCAAATCTATCTTATCATGGTCATGGGGATCTTAGTTTTTGCAGAATGCAGAATACAAGATAGCTAGATTAAGAAGCCTTAGCCTTAAGCCGCCACTCGCTGCCTGTCAAGCTGGCTTTTTGATTCGTGACTAAATCATCTTATAGAGTCGGCCATGGGGATCTCAAATCCGTTCTTAGTTTTTGCAGAACGCTTCGAAAACGCGAGATATCTAAATTTCGGACTCTTTGAAAGGCCGTCACACGCTGCCGTAACAGCTGCTTCAGTGGTCTAGTGGATAGTCTGCTAGACTGCCGAACCTCTGCCGAACCTTAAACATTTTTGTCTTCAAGTTCGAGTCCCACTCTTGCCAAACTTAAATAAGATAGTCTATAAGATGAACTTGGTCTATAAGATTGGCCACGAGTCAAAAGATCAGCCTCTCTCGGTGCCTTTTTCTTGTAAAATAAAAGAAAGAGATCAAAATTGATGAATTGAAAA